TTCTTCACTGGATTGTTTGTAGATTTATATTTTTTCAGAGTAATATTAATAATAATATTTTTTAGGAATTATGTACATTTTTATGGATTAATCTACAAATACAAATGATTTTAGAGCTATATTGGCTTTGAGGAATAATGTTCAAGTGTAAAATTATGGGTTTAAGGCAAAAAATCAAAAAGTTTTCAGGGATTTTCTGAATTTTCATATTTACGAGGAGTTTTAAAATTTTGTGGCCTTAGTGTAAAATGACTAAAATTTATTTTAGGAATAGTGACATTTATTCTTTTAGGTACTGTTTGGCAAAGAGTTAAGAGAGGGGTTAAGGAGACTTAACCCCTTCTTAACCTGCAAAACACAACAAATCTATATAAGGGTTAAAGTGAGTTAACCCTCCATAATTTGCCAAACATAAAAAATATAGAAGGGTTAAGTTAACCCCTCTAGAGGGGTTAAAATGAGTTAACCCCTCAAAATGAGGGGTTTACTAATACTCCTATTTAGATGGAATAAGAGTTAACCCTTCTAATTAAGTAATTATAAAAAAAATAGTCAAAATCATTGTTATTCCCAAACACTAAAACTAATCATAAGGGCTAAAATAAAACTTATTTAACGGGTTAATAATTTAGTCCTTCGGATTATCAAATGCGCTAAGTACATTAATCCTTCTCTTTAACCCCTCTTCATTAACCATTTGCCAAACGGGACCTTAGATTATCAAATGGGCTACCCCCACACACCCCCACACCCACCCCAACAAACCACCTGCGCCACCAAAAAAAAATTCCCCTAATCTTGTCCTCTAACTTAACTTATAAAATATCACCATAGAATATTCTGTCAAAATTATATGTAACAATTTCTCATCTATTCCTTTATACAAATAGGAGGATCAGAGATTCACTGTTCATGCTACAGTAACTGCTACAGTAGCATTTACTGTAGCATTATTACTGTAGCTAATGATTACTTTAAAATAGTACTGTAGCACACGGGTATACTGTAACATTTAAAAGGTACTGTAGCAGAGCGGGATACTGTAGCACTTCTAAAAATTCAAATCATACCATATTAAAAAAAAGGGATTACTGTAGCAAAAAAACCCGTGCCGCAAACTAGTTACATATAAAGAAGAGAATAACAACATATTAGTAATAATAGAATATCATATTAATAATAATGTTATGCTATATAATATAAAACAATAGCATATTAACATACAAAAAAGTATTATCATTTAAAAATAATATGTACTTATTACAGTACAAGATATGACAAATACAATATAATAATATATACATTACATTATAGGGCCATCTGCCTATATACCCTCCAATTCTTCTATATTTGCATATTTATCCCCCAAATGTTTATTACGAAGCTAGTGTACCCTGAAATGGTTTATTTAAGTAATGTTTCTGGAATATATTAGTGCAATTTTAGAAGCCTTCGGAGGTTCATTTCAAAGCGCTAAAAATTATTGATGGTTTGGTGTAATTTACCCTAGAATATGATTATACCCTTCTCATCTTCTTCTTAGAGCACTCCTTTAATTATGGGAAAATGATTTAAGGACCCAAAATATGGGACCAAGGGAGGGGACATGTGAGGTGTCCCCTCCCTATTGCATAATAAGTTGGCATGGCCAACTCATTATGCAATAGAGAGGGGACACCTCACCTGTCCCCTCCCATTGGTCCTATATTTTGGATCCCTGTAGCAGCACTCTTAATTATGACGAGAAGATGACTGAGTATTTGCACTTTTTAACTAAGCGAGCAAACTGATGAAACTAAGGGAAGAAGCATTAACAAAGAGCAAACACAAAAGACCAAAATTGACCTTAATTTGTTCTCAAATGTGTTGATTTTCATGATTTTTGTTTAGCAATGAACGCTTCTTTGGATCTAGTCGATAACATGACAAGGTCACTTTATATTAAAAGAACAAGAGCCAAATATATTCCAGAAAAAAGTAAAATAGTGTGCGATTAATTCCAAGGCACGTAGAATCGGACGTAGCATTCTACAATTCTTCCCTCTAATCTTTCGCGTTTATATTAAAGCTGGTAAATTTCAAAATAATCCCCAAAATGTTGTGAATTTTTCGCTTAACTCCAAATACTACTTTGCAGTGTTTATATGATATTTTTGTTTAAGAACTCAGAACATGACAAAAACGTTTTAGGGATTTTTTAAAATTCCGGTGGGAGTTCCAAGCCTTTTGAGGTTAAGTGCCAAATGGCCAAATTTAATGGGGGGTTTGGTGAAATCTACTTAAAGGAAAATTTGCAAAATAGACCTATTTTGTTAAATATTTAGCAAAACATATCGTTTTGCTGAATATTTAGCAAAATAGATATTTTTGGTCTGTTGGTCAAAAAGATGTCGATTTTGCTAAACAGACTATTCGAAACATACGGGACTAGTACTCTCGTATGATTTAAATCATACAGGACTACTAGTCCCGTATGTTTCGAATGGTCTGTTTTGTAAAATCGATCTGACATGTTGGTCAAAAAAAGGTCTACTTTGCTAAATATTTAGCAAAACGGTCAGTTTTGCTAAATATTTAGCAAAAGAGGTCTATTTTGCAAATTTCTTCTTACTTAAAAGTTTAGTAGCAGATAAAAGAGGAGGAAAAATCCGGTGATGATGATGTTGATGGCTAAAAGGGAGAACTTAATTATATTGGGGCATGGAGGCTGTCACCTTGATGTAGAAACTCCATGAAAAATGCCTCCATGTATAATTATATTCGTTGAAGGGGAAATATAAATTTGTTGCATCAGCTAACTTCACCGCCGATTTGAAACTTTTATAGCATATTTTTCTCTAATAAAAAGGGTAAACTAAATTTTAGATAACCCCTTCATCTATATCTTCAATAGCGGGTAGCCCCTTCATCTAATAACAAAGATTCCCCCATATTTGGAAGGACAAATGAAGAGGCAGAAAGTGAACTAGGCTTTAAAACTTAAAGTGACTTATAATTCAGCCCATTTCCCATTTAATTTCTTTTTTTAATGAACATATGACTCTGTGAGATTTCGAGATCGAATTTCATCTCAGGGCCTGTTTGGTTGTTTTCCGGAAAAAAAAAGGAAATGAAAAACACACATTTTCAACTCATTTCAAGACTTTTCAACACATTTTCCGTTTTTCTTTTTTTTTTCGTTTGTTTCGCAATGAAACCTCTGCCACGTCACATTTAAAGAAAATCTAGCCGCAAAAGCAATACTGTTTTCAGCAAATAAATATTGCCTTTTAATCATCTATTTTTATTTTTTGTGCTTGTTTGAACATAAAAAAAAGGAATTGGAAATCAGCAGCAAAAGCAATAGTATTTTTAGCAATTAAATAATTCTTTTTATTCCTAGCCATTGTTTCAACAGTGCTTTTAGTAATTAAAAATTCTCTGAAGTGACATTTCCAAGTGTTTTCAGAGGGTTTTGGTCTGAAATGAGTTTTCAAAAAAATTTAACGTGACATCCTACGTGGCACCCTCATTTCTTTAAATTACAAAACGAAACAAATGTGTGCTTTGAAAATCGGTTAAAACCAAAATCCTACGTGACGGGGGAAAATTTCTTGAAATCATACATGGCGGGGGGTTCTTTTTTTTAGCAAACAAACAGCCCCTCAAACAACTTAGCTGTTATAGATAATAAAATATAATATAACATAGACAATATTTGACTATGATCGCAATGAAACGAAAGAATATATTTAGCCAAAAAAAACATGATGATTATTTCGTAAGCATTGTTTAAGCATTGTTTGAGGATATTCATGGCTTCAGGCTTACTCGTGGACCACCAATCAGCCCAAAAAAGAACACTAAACATGGCCCATCAACAATGTGACTAGCAAATTATACACGGGCTAAAGTACTCGGGCCAGCCCATAATTATACTTCACCTCACAGACATCATTTTCTTGCCAAAAAAAAAAAAAAATTATTCACAGCAAATTAGAGCAAATATCCAAAAATTTGGATTTACGGTCAAAGATCTGCGTGGTTGAACTCAGTGCGTTTTCACTCTTCCTACTTTTGACATCTTATCAAATATCTGATAGGTTCATATAAATCTTATCTAAGATAACCACCAATCAAGCATAGGATTATTATGAGCATGAAATTATAATGGTTGCTGCCCACCTTACTTTCTATAAATAGGGGCTGTTTGGTTAATTTCCTAGAAGGCCAGGAAAAAGATTTTTTTTTTTAATTTCTTAGAAACCCATGGTTTCAACCAAGTTTCTAGAAAAAATGGTCTAAAAAATGAGCCCTCTTGGTTTCCAAGTGTGAACCAAACATTTAAAAAAAAGTATCATAAGAAATGGTCTTGTGTAATATATTTCCCTAGCTTTTTTGGGTAACCAAGCAGCTCATTTTGAACGAAAAATTAGCTTTTTTGGAGCTTCTGTAATGAGTATAAAATTAAACCCTTCGTGTCCTCGTAGTTGTTTAAAAATGGAAAAATCACATAATAAAACTAGTAAGAGTTAAAAATTTTATAAATCATATTCATTAAATGATAAATAGAACTATAAACTTTCAAATATGCATAAGAATATCATATATTATTATAAAATATTCTTACGATATTAACAAAAATTGTTAAAACATTCCCAACATTATGCAATAAAGAGAGAACCGTTACAGAATAAGCAGCAATAAAGACCTCCGAAATATGTCATGTGACAACTTACATTAGCACCCATGTGAAATTTTTTACCTTAAAATTTTTTATGACAACTTACATTAAGCAAAAACTATAAAAATTAATTGTTTTGTGACATTTGGCCCTTATAAATTGTATTTCAAAAGTGAGACGAGACGTAGCACCCCAAAACAAAATATAAGGAGGACAAAAATCCAAAGCTAGGCATCTTACAGTGTTCCTGCGGAACAGCGAGAAGTGTCACCGTCTCCTCACTCTCTCGCATAAGCAAACTCCCCCCCCCATTTATAAGCAAAACAGCAGAAGAATAAACATCCATTTTTTTTTCATTCTCAGATCCCCACATCGACCGCTAAAGAAAATAAAAAAATAAAAAAAAAAAGAGGAGAAGAAAGGAATCAAGAAACAGCTCCAGATCTCAAAGAGATCCTCCCTCTTCTCCTCTCTCTCCAGATCTCCTGGATCTCGAGAGATCGATCTCCTCTTCGATCTCAATGGCGAGGGCGAGCTCCGGCCTCGCTTACCCCGAGAGATTCTACGCCGCCGCGGCCTACGCTGGATACGGCGACGGATCCAACGGCAGCGGAGCGACCTCCAAGTTCCAGAACGATGTCGCGCTCCTCCTCTACGGACTGTATCAGCAAGTAAGGGATCTCGACCGATCTGTTGATTTTTTTGTGTGTGTTGGATCTAGGGTTTGGATCCGAGGTTTTGCTAGGGTTTTCTTTGGTTTGACCTGTGAATTGGAGTGGAATGCATGTTTGATTTGTGTAGTTGGGTTGAATTTGTGGTGGTGTTGATGGATTTTCTGTGCAGGCGATTGTGGGACCTTGCAATACGGCGAAACCTAGGGCTTGGAATCCAGTGGAGCACAGCAAGTGGACTAGGTTGGTGATTTTCTTATGTTTAATGATAGTATATTTGGCAAATTATCTATTTTTTGTGAAAACGTTCGGAAAAAAAATTATTTAATTTTTTTTTAGATTTTACGTGAAATGAGAATGCAGTTCATGTATCGCAACTAGCCTGCATCTTTTTGGAAACTTTGGGGGTTGCTACTTATGAGATCAAATTAAATGTCCAAGATTGTAGGTTTAAACATTTGCCAGTTTAAATTATAGGACTTTTATTCGATTAGCTCTTTGCCTCTTTCTGCTGTTGTTTAGTGGTCTAAGGACTTGGATTCAATTTGAAGAGAAGATTGGTCTTTAGATTTTGGGTGTGTTGTCAGAGTTTGGAAAATCTTCAAACAGATCCATCTTGACCTGGCATTGTACTTTGTGACTGATATATCAGCATTTAAATGTTTTTGGTGCGTGGGATGAAATGATTTTATCTTTGACAGTCTGCAAGGGAACAGAGGGCATTAGCTGTTCGGTGAGGCTTCTTTTGACCTATGTGCATAATATGAATATCAAGTAGCAATCACAACTCCATATGTTTAGTTGTACTGCCTTCATTTGAGTAGTATTACCCTCTAGCTTCATTGAAGAGAAAGGGAACCGCTGGATCATTTTCTATTTGGAATCACAAACGGTGATACTTTTCTTTACTTGCAGCGGATTTTCCTTCTTCGTATAAATGCACTCTTGACCTATGATATGCTTGTAAAGATGTTACATGAATGTGCCAGAAAGTGATTGGGTTCTTTTGCCATCTTTTTGTGGCTGGAAAACATGATTAATTCGCAATTGATAATGGATTTTTGCTGAAGTTCAATGAACAAATGTATTAGCCACCTGAGTTTTATTATTTTTATTGCTTTCAATTTTATATGACAGTAATAGCTACGCTTGTTTATGCATAACTGCTTTGTAGTCATTATCCATCTTGTTTATTCCATTTATGACATTTTTTTTGTACATCCAACAAATGAATCTTTTTGACTGAAACTTTTAATACTTTTACCGATTGTGTTATAGTATCATCGTTCAGTGGTTGCTTCTAACCTTTTTAGAAAAAGTATCTGGATTTCTAGTTAGCTACTAATGTTTTACATGGTCCTTGCAGTTGGCATGGGCTTGGAAACATGGCCTCAACAGAAGCGATGCGTCTTTTCGTGAAGATTCTAGAGGTGCATACTAAGCCTTTCCTTGTTTATGAAAACTTGTGAGATGTTAGCTGATAATTGTTTTAGCATATAAAATAGGAGGAAGATCCTGGTTGGTTTTCGAGGGTCCCGGAATTCACAGTGGAGCCCATCGTAGACGTTGAAATGCATGTAAGTATTTTTAAAATAACTTGGTTGGGCAGTGATTTGTTTTATGAAGAAAATCCACTTTCTTCATTGTTTCATATCATCTGGTGCATATATGTGTAGATTTGTTGTGACAATGTGTATTTTCGTGGATTGGTATCATGGCAGTTGTGGAGAATCTGGAGATTGTGCAACGTGTTGTAAGAATGTATTTCATTAGTTCCATAAGCAGATAGAAGGAATTTCCTAATATACAGTTCTTAATTCAATGAATAAATTATTATATCAAGTTATTTATTTTTTATTTTTTATTGAGAAGAATCTAAAAACCTTTGGGTAATTTCACCTCATGTGACAGTATAATGTAGATAACTACATATCATGTTTTGGCTAACTGAGATTTATAGCAGAACTTTTCTCTCCTTCCTCCTTCCTATTCTTCTTTCTTTTTTGGCATGACATAAAATATAGATGTGGACTGTTTTGAATAACATTAATATTTTATCTTGTGCACTTGACTATGTCTTTATGCTCCATAATTTACTCAGCTTCAACCGGAATAAAGCGGAAGAGCACTATGGACCACTGTATGAGTGTATGCTATGCATTACTCATTTCCTTAGTTTAGATAAAAAGAAAACAATTGTTGCCAATACCATTGATGAACATCATGTCTCATGCTTGTCACCTGATCCTGTGATCAGTGAGGAATGTTGCATACCTTCCCAATAATGATAACTGGTATTTCACTAGCATGTTCAAGAATTTAGTCTGAGTAACTGGAGTAGAATGATATTTAGTAGGACTGTGAAATGTGATCTAGAGGAGACATGCTAATAGATAACATTAATTGTAAAAACCTAGAAAATTTAGTCATTGCAAGCATAGATATTTCACTGGCTAGAAGGATGCCCGTTCAGGTGGCAATTCCATAAGTGTCTTAAACCTGATAAAGATATCCCAGGTGAGTTATACTAGTTGCATGCATATAGTGGAGAAGTCAAATATAATGTGAGACAAGACAGAAAAATAAAGTCTGCAGGAAATTGCTGAAATCTAAGCCAAAATGAGTCCCAAAGGGAGTTTAAAATGGGTGTAGTTAATTCTAAAACCAAAAGTAACATATAGTGCATTGATTCTAACATTAGAGAAGAGACATGAAATTAGTTCAATCAGATGAGTACAGGTTCACATTTTAGAACCTATATTCTTGTAAATTATTACAACTTGTTTATGAAGGGCGAAAAATGGAAGTTTAAAGTGTGTTTGGCTTAAAAGGCCTTTGAACAGCTATGTTGCTGATTGTGCGATGGAGGATGTTGAATACCATGTCAGACTTCCCACTCAATTGCCAGCTGACGAATTCTTTTAACTAACTTGGCACTTTGGCGAAGAAGGATTTTAAAATTTTAAAGCATAAAAATCTAGCGACTTGTCTTAAGAAAGAGTACAGTTTGAAGAATTTTTCCTATAGATTGTCACCTTGTAGAATGAATAGTTCAAATGAGCATGTTTGTTGGATCATGTACATGAAAATAAAAACTGACGAGCCTGATCTAGAACCTTATTCCTTAAGTTGATAATTAGATGGCTAAATTCTTTTTTTATTTTATAGTTAGCAACTAAATATTTTCTAAATAAAGTATGACAATCCAATGTTACGCAGAATCCAGTATACCAGTATTTAGTGCTTTGGCAAGATTTAATTGGTTCGTACGGAGTCAAACTGCATTCTTTTCAGGGACTCTGGGTTATTGTTACTGGCATTGTTTAAAACTGTTAAACTGACAGCTCCCTTTGTGTACTAAAGTTAGCTATGACAGACTGTATAGAAATTTTTTCGTGGTTAAGCTTTCTTACATTTCATTTAATGTGTGGATGAACAACAGAAGGCCATACATTCAAATGAAAAATGTCTCTCTAAAATCTAGGGTTTGCTCGACAATTTTTTATGGCCTGTTTTTTGTTGTCGCAGAAGCCAAAGATTGAGTCATTTGCGGACCCCGCCATCCCAAATGGTAATTTATTGGAAGAGCCTAAAATCATTTCAGCAGAAAATGGAACCATGCCAGAGACTGAGGATAAAGATATTATAATGGAGGGGCTTGGATCAATTGGTATTTATGATCAATGGATTGCACCTTCAGTATCTGGGCAGCGTCCAAAGCCTCGATATGAGGTGATTTACTGCTGAGCTCAATTGAGCCAATTTATAATGTTAATTTTTTAAATTTTTTCTAACGTTGGAGTTGAATGATTTAACTGTGCAGCATGGAGCAGCTTTAGTGCAGGATAAAATGTATGTTTTTGGTGGTAATCACAATGGCCGTTATCTTAGTGACCTTCAAGTAAGGAGAGTTTTCTACCTATTTTTTAGTTGCGAGGAATTTAAATTTGAAGTTTGGGTTCAATGATATCTGAGATGTTCACATCACGAAATATTTTCTGATGGTAACTGTGTGACTTATTTTGGATATTCTTGCTTCAATTGTCAAAATAACTCACAGATGACGATCACGAAGCCTGTTTTTCCCATTTTACATTTATCCCCCGTTTAATGAAAAGTAGGTCGTCAATCGGGTCTAATGTATATTTGTGTTTTTTTTTCTTTATTTGGGGAGAAGGTTTTGGATTTGAAGAGGTTGATGTGGTCCAAAGTGGAGGCTAGAGCCGCTGTAGAATCTTCCGAATCGAATTCAGTAACTGTTTCTCCATGCGCTGGTCATTCTTTGGTAAAATATTGTTCTCAATTGCAACCATGATGTTGCAGATGTAGTCTGGTTGAGCATACACGTTCACCTTCTACTTTTCTTTCTGCAGATCACCTGGGGACACAAAGTTCTGTCTGTTGCTGGACATACAAAGGATCCTACTGAGACCGTTACAGGTTTCAACATTTTTCATTTTCACAAATAACTTTTCTTATTCAGTCTCATACCAAGTGATCGTGTTTTCTGTGCTTTTAATGATAGTGAAGGAATTCAACCCACAGACTTGTACATGGGCAGACTTAAAGACATATGGGAAACCTCCGGTTAGTGTTTTTTGTAAGACAGTCTGAACTGTCAAATTCATTTTGAAATGCTAAATATAAGCCTATTTTCATTATCTTTGAAAATTTAATGCATACTCTGTTGATATGTCATATCAAGTCAGTTCCATTTTTTTTTTCATTTGACATAAATGCATATTAAATATAACATCATACAGAGGCTAATGTTTTTGCTATTGATTGTACGGATATGGTTAATGGTGATTTTCTTCAGATGCAAAATGGTTTCCACTTCCCATAATAGTTGTGCCACGAGGATGGTTATATATCTAAATCTCAAAATTTGTCAATTTCAAGCGATACTTTAGATGCATGGCCTTGAGGCACTTGTTTTTTCAAAGAAGTATAACATCTAACCCTCACCTTTTGTTGTTATCACCATGATTATCCCTTTTTATCTATATTCTACATTCGTGAGTTCTAAGATTCAAAATGAGTTTCTTGGTCTCTGTCCATTTGAAGATGTAGCATAGACAAGTACTAATTAAAGTAGATACTGGATTTTGTTGATCATTCTGTTTTTTTGGGGGTTATTCTCAATGCAGAGAACTTGTATATTAATATTACAGCCTTATAGCAGACATTCAACAAGAGTTTTGTGATTGTTCTCCACAACCTCCACAGTCCACCTCTCTCTCTCCCTCACAGCAGTAAATCAAAGAGTGGTTTATAAGGAAATACTATATCGTTCATCATTTTTTGTTACGGTGAAAACCTTTATATGATATTGTTGCAGATATCCAAGAAAACTTTTGCGGTGGTTCTCCTGCGTACTGTCCACCCACACATCCTTCTCCTTTCTAAAACAAGCACTACCTATGCCACGTAGGCAGACACAAATCACACATATGTTATGTGGTTTTAAGTGTTTATTTGCATGATTTACAATAAAAAACATGTTTGTTCTGTTTCTAGTTAAATTTATATGATTCTTTATAAATCTGCTTTCCATGTAGATTTCACGTGGAGGACAGTCAGTGACCCTTGTTGGAGATACTTTAGTCATGTTTGGCGGTGAAGATGCAAAGAGATCTCTCTTGAATGACCTACATATTCTTGACTTGGAAACCATGACATGGGATGACATGGATGCTATGTAAGACATCATTTCTCTTTTTGTCTCTTTGGGTCTGAGATATATCATTTTGCCTTTGTCAGTACCTATCACTAGTCTACAGAATTTGTGGAATTTCTTGGTGAATTTGTCCTTGATTGCACACACTTAAATTGATTAGTAAAAAAAAGCCGGTCCATCTGCTGGTTTTTGGGCAAGCTCCTTTCCTGCTCTTGCTATTGAATTTGCGGAATTGCTTGGAGAATGGATTCTTGATTGCACACATTTAAATTGCTTCGTAAAAAAGGTTGGTCCACCTGCTTGTGATTTAGTGGTTAAAGATTTGTGGGCAAGCTCCTTTCGGAAGTATATACAATTGCTGAACCTTATAAATGTTTCCTGCCATCTCTCTTATTCAACAGATAAAATTTTACTGGAACTTTTAGAACTCCTAAAAATAACAAATATACTCTCTGCAGTATCCATTTGTGAGGCTTGTTTTAGAGAATTCTTGCAACCTGATAACACTTTCAGTGAGGGTCTGAGGTTTGGGCCATTTTCCCCTTCATTCTATGAGCACTGGGAAGAGCAGGTGGTAGTTGGGTTGGAGGATATATATATAAGGATCTTTCCTCCTGCAGCTATGGTTTCTTTCTCAGCATATTTGCAACTTGAATAATCCTCTTAACCAAGCATAAGGTTTTTCCTATATTTACTTTTTCTATGACGCCATTCAGCTAGTGTAGATGAAGGCGTAGGGATGTAGAAGGAGCAGATACTGGTATTAACATGTTCATTTTTGTTTAATCCTGCTGTCTGATATGGAAATCATGGGATATTGGAACTATATATGTTAAATAAATAAATAAAATGATTTCGATTTCGATTTTGTACCCTGTTTGGACAACAAACTGGTATAATCAAGCATGACCAGATGCTATGAATTTCAAAGTTGTAATCTCTTTATATTGTTCTTTTCCTCTGATTTTTGAAATTGCCAAGTTTCTCTGTTTTCAAACAAGGAACCTGGTCGCTGGATTTTGCTTAGTTTAAATGTGAAGTGTTGCATTAGCTGTTTAATGCCTTTTATGTGTACATAAATTAGAATCTCAAAATTTTGAAATTAACTGAGGATATTCTTTGCAAATTTGAATAACTTGAGATTATATCATTGCTGACAACGCATAAGTGGTGATGGGAGTTGCAGAAAAAATATTATTTGTCCATTTCAGTGATTTGAATATTTTCTTTATTGTCTTTCAGAGGCACACCTCCTTCTCCAAGATCAGACCACACTGCTGCCTGCCATGCAGACCGGTACCTTTTGATTTTCGGCGGAGGATCTCATGCAACTGTCTTCAATGATCTACATGTTCTTGATTTACAGACTGTAAGAAACTTACAACATCTTCATACGCTAATGAATGTTTATAGGATTACTTTTAGCCATTTTTTAAAAGATGAATGGCTTTCATTCAGATGGAATGGTCTAGACCAAACCAGCAGGGTGTGACTCCAGGTCCTCGAGCTGGCCATGCAGGGGTAACAGTTGGAGAAAACTGGTTTATTGCTGGTGGTGGCGATAATAAAAATGGTATTATATTGTATTTTATGGTGTTACATAAACATTTCTTTGGTATATTGTATTAACGTATCACGAGCTTGTCAGTCTTCTTATTGGTTGCTCCATCTTATATTCCATTTTTGACTCCGAGAAGGAGAAAATGTCTTTTGCGCTCCAAAACTTGATTTTCTGGTTCTTGTCAAACCTTTGTCAACTTTTCGCGAAAAGCTGATCAGTGCAGTTTTAATCATATCGAAATCAAAATGAAATATATTTTTTCTGCTAATCAATTAAAGATGGATGTAACAACTTAATGGGGTCACTTGTTGCATCTCTTATGGCAAACCTTTGAATACATGCCCTTGTCTCTTTTAGAGGGGATTTCAACAATTTTTTTTTTCTTTACTGTGTTTCAGTGTTTTTTAGTTTCATGTTGGTAGAGTTCACTCCAAAGATATTCAGATAAGATTCAAATGTTATAGAATCTGTTCTCCTTTGATCTAATCGTTAAAGTTGGTGATAACTTATATTATTAATAATGATCTTCATGTTCTATTTTAACTCTAAGGAACCGAAAGGTGAAACGGATAAAGTTGATGCATTGATACTGGAGGCCACTAGGATGATCGGTCTGTTTCATACCCAACATATGAACCCAACCCGTCACAGTTGGATAACTCTAGGCACGTAAGGTTGTTTTGAGACTAAATTTGGTTGAATGTGCTGAAATATGTCTTGTGGATAAGGCATAACTTGTTTATGAACCTAACTTGCTTGGATAAGGATACAATGCAAACATGTTGTTTGTCACTCTTGAAAAATAAGTTGCCGCATTTACAAGGATACTGAATATGGGAATGAATAACTATATTTATTGAAGTTTTTAATTATTTTATATAGAAAATGAAGGATAAAGGGCATCATGTGTAGAACATGAAGAAGCTTGAAATTGTATGAGCTCTATAAAAGAATGCCCTGCTGTGTGTATTTAAAAGAAGCTGCTCCTGGTTGTTTCGGCTTATTCTGTTTTTGGGTACACGAGCACATGCTTGCATGTATTAACTATTGGTTGTTTCTACCTGATCTTTCTGCTGCTGCTTGTGCAAATTTGTTGCAGGGATCTCTGAAACTCTTGTGCTTAACATGTCTACATTAATATGGTCTGTTGTTACTACTGTTCAAGGGCGTGTGCCACTTGCTAGCGAGGTATCCACTTGCATTTTGTGCTAGTTAGGTTTTACGTTGTGTATTTTTTTACTGTTTACATATAGAAACATTTAAAATTTTGACGATAATAACATTTTTGTTCTTATCAAGCATATCCAAAGATGAACAGAAAAGGGTTGGGTGTTTGTAGGAGAATTTAGAAGACAACATGAGTATCTTCGCCACTGTCACATCTTATAATAAACTCATATTATTTCCATTTGACGTCAAAATAAGAAATGTCCGTCCCTTAATCACGAGACGTTGCTTTGGGCTTAGTTAGAGGCATTTTTTATTCTGGGAAAGAAAGAGCTCAGCGGGCGTGGTAAAAATTGTTTGGCAGAGAATGATCATTGACACCTTTTTTTTTCATCTTTCTGGTGTTACTTTGTAATAATGATATTTATCAATTATGATATTTATCAATAATGAAACCAGAGGTCAACAAGATTCTAGTTACTTAGATAATCTGTATGTAAAATCCGAACAGTAGTAGTCTGTCCCGTATAAGACACAAGGATATGTAAGTTTATGCCAGTAAACATTACTACTGCATAAATATGTAAATTTACCCCTTCTTCTGCACTTCTGCAACAACTCTGTAATCTGGTAATTTCTTTAGGTCACTGATATTTCGAGGTTCTGTTGTAGGGCCTCAGTTTAGTTTCAAGTACCTACAACGGGGAAGATTTTCTTGTGTCATTTGGTGGATATAATGGGCGCTATAGCAATGAGGTGAAGTAGATACGATCGCATTTACACTTTTCTATACTGTGAAGTTTTCTCCATTCTTATCCATCTTGATTGTCAGGTGTATGTTCTTAAGCCAAGTCACAAATCAGATGCACAATCCAAGATTGAGAGACCTGTATCAGACAGTATAGCCACCCTGCATCCAGCGGTGAATACTAGCCGAGATGCGGGGCCTGAATCAGAAGCAGCTCAAGATGGGAAAATAAGAGAAATTGTGATGGATAATGTTGATTCCGAGCCCTTGGTAATATGACATGAAAATTAGTGGATTAAAGCATCTTAGAGCTTTTACAGTATTCTTTTTTCATACAAAATGGAGTGATTCAATCTTGGCAAATGCTAGCTTTCATGCTTTCAGAGTATCTTTTGATTTTAACGGCAACAATAGCAGTATTAGCCCAAAAAAATTGAAGCAAGATGGTTTGTCTTAAATGAGAGCATGTGCTGACAAAAGCCGAAAATATATTAAGTAAACTATAAATGATTTGTTGCTAGTAGTTTGGATTTATAGGGAATGGTCTTTAGATTTTATTAGGTATTCAAATTTCTGACATGTATATTATGTGAAGTTTTTTAACTTCTGCTCCTGCCATAAATTTTTAGAATGTTAGAAGTGAGGAAACAAGCGAACGAGTTGTATCAGCCCTCAAGGCAGAGAAAGAAGAACTTGAAGCAACACTTAACAGGGAACAATTGCAGGGAATCCAACTGAAGAAAGAGCTATCAGATGCAGAAGCTAGGAACATAGAGCTTACAAAGGCAAGCTTTACTAATTTGTTTCTTCTTCCATGTTAACACCTCTCAATGCCTTGCTTTTTTACCTTTGTCTGTGTTTCTTTCCTTCTTCGTGAAAGAGCATAGTTGTCCCAATAATTGGATCTTCTCGTTTCCGTCTACTTGTTCATTGTCTTGTTCATCATTTCTAAGACGGTACCAATATGGCTCTTTTCTCTTGAAATGCATAATGAACTATCTGCATTATGCTCGCTCTAGAGCATATTGATTTATTTAGAAACTATGTATTATTAATGCATTTATAGTCACAACATTGACAGATCTTCTGCTGACAAGTCCATGTTACCTATTCTAGGAAATTGTGGATCATAATCAATATTGTATACTACATTCGAAATATTTCAAATAATCTGCTAACTGTTTTTGCATAAAGGTTCAAAGATGGTTACACCTAAAAAGACTATATATATATTTAATCTGTCTTTGCATGTTCATGTTCAAACAAGCATGTATTTGCGTACTAAAGAGCCCCATATCTTAATTACTGTAATGGTGGAGGCATGAAGTCTTTGTCCCTACCTCTGATTGCAAAAATGTACAGTTACCAATGAAGTTGCATCCCCTATTACAGAAAAGTTCGAGTCACTGCATAATTTTGGAAACTTATGAATTACAGCTTTTCTCATATGCCCTTGGATAACTTTTTTAACTTGTTGCCAATCAAGATGCATCACTTATAAAAGAAAAGTTTGAGTCACTGCATAGTTTTGGAAATTTAGAATCACGTCTTTTCTCATATGCCCTTGTATAACGTTAAATTTACATCTCTTGTACATTTCGGTCCTGTTCAAACATATTACCAGAATACCAGTACAGAATTCATGAAGTTTCATATAGTTGCAAAAAGGTTCCATATGCTAAAAAGACTAGTATATATACCTTATTGCGTTCATGTCCATTAACTTACTTAGAATTTACCGTTCTTTCAATTTTTTTTTTATTTCTCGAACTGCAGAATAAAATAACTGTTTCTCCAGTTGGATGTTGGAAAGTCAATTAATTTGCAGACCTTTAATAAAGTAGAGTTTGAAATCCAATTTCTTGATTAATTTAATGGCTCATTTGAGAAGCTATAGGTCACGTGGGAAAGGCGAAAAGCTGTAACATCACAAAATCAGCATGCAGATCAAACTCTTAGCTTTTCATAATTTTTTTTTCCTTCTTTTGAATTCTGTAGGAGCTTCAATCCGTTCGTGGCCAGCTTGCTGCTGAGCAATCAAGATGCTTCAAACTTGAGGTATGTTACTGCAATTTGACTGATTTCTCTATTTTAAACAGGTTAATTGCAGATGGACCCTGTGTAGTATAATCCAACTGCAGATAGACCCCTTGTAGTTCTATTGTTGCATATGTAGACCTCCTGCTTGAAAATTCTCTCACTCTTTTACCATCACGGGGTCCCTTTGTCCCCATAGGAAAACAAAAATTCTGTTTTTCTCTTGAGGTTGAAGAGTTAAAGAAGTTTCACTCAGGGGTCTATCTGCAACAATACAACTATAGGGTGGGTGTCTATCCGCAATTAACCCATATTAAACTGTATAGAATTTTCTCTGCTTACGCAAAAAAAAAAAATGAATTAAAATGTAATACAAGCCAAGCCATCAAATATGATAAAAGGTTTTGTTTATAACAGGTTGACCTTGCTGAGTTAAGGCAAAAACTACAAACAATGGAGACGTTGGAGAAAGAAGTCGAGCTTCTTCAGAGGCAGAAGGCTGCTTCAGAACAAGCCGCAATGAGTGCTAAACAGAAGCAGAGCTCTGGCGGCGTCTGGGGTTGGCTTGCTGGAAGCCCTCCCGAATCTGAGTAACCAAATTCTAGGCATCAAAGTATCTACAACTCGTACAGTCGTGACAGTGATTTTGCTGATAGTGTCATAATTCACTTCTTATTGTTCGTCATTGTTCTTTTAAAGTAAAGACAATAATTGATGAAAAAAATTGAGATTGCGTCATATTCTCCAATTGTGTCGTATACGAGTGCTGGAGCATTGTGTTTAAACTTTTTTCTTCCTTTTGTTTTTGTTTCTTGATATTTAGGAATTGTATCCAAAGATCTTTTTCTTGTATTACATTTGTCTCTATATTCTGCTTCGACTCAAGCTTCGCACCTGGCGCAGTATTTGTTTCGGTTTGTAGCGTACATATTATTCGCCAGTTGTGTGATTTTCACACAACAATTATTCCCCTCATTTTGAAAAATCAGAACTAGCGTTATCTTTTATGCTTTCTTGTAGGCACGCGTGCTACACTGGTTGAGGTGACGCATTCATTTTTCTCAAAAGAAAATTGAGAGGGTGGGTAAACGGGTCCCACATTTAGATAGAAAAGCCAGTCCCAACACAACGAAAATGGAGACCCCGCCGTATAAATTCTCACGAATACAAGGCCACACCAAAAACACCACGAATGGTAATTCTATCCGTACATACATATGTACACACGACAAAATAACTTCACCTTTCGGATAACAGAGACGAGTTCTGTAGCGATATTCAAGCTCGTACCTTTTTTGCCTTATCACGCGCCCTACCTGTTTAATAAGAAGCCACAGCCACGTAAACACGAGTTTTCACATCAGAAGATGGTGGAGATTACAACCTAACAAAAACGCTTATAAAGTACTGAGAATATGAGCTTTGCATAGCACCAGACGACCAACCGATGTTGTCGAGTACAGGGAGAATGTAAGGAGGTGAGGATATAATTTACTTCTAAAAATTCTCGTGCCCTAAGGTTGAACAAACTAATCATGAAGCGTCAAACACTGCCATATCTCTCAGAACTACAAAACAAAGGCACCTTTAATAGGAAGAACAAAGAAATCAGAAGATATGAACAACCTCCAGAGCCTCGTGGGACCGTGATAATAGAAACTGCTAGATACATAGCTAAAGCACCACTCAAGAGGGGCAAAAAAAAAAAGAAAAATTGGATGCATAATGTTCTGCTGTGATCGCCGAAAAATATTTGAGATAGTTTTCTTCAGGTTGAGTGAAAACCTCATATATCTACAAAACTACTTATTACCTAGATCCATAAAATTTTCAAACATACAATGATTATTGATTAGTTTAACCAAGGTAATGTGATTTTGATTGTAGTAAATTCTGAAAAATAGAAGATACTGCTCATTTGGAAGGAGCGACCAAGGTAATGTGATTTTGATTGTAGTAAATTCTGAAAAATAGAAGATACTGCTCATTTGGAAGGAGCGTGTACATATGTTGCTTACTTGATTACATCGTCAATTTCGATTCCAATGCTCCAGCAACACTGGCTTCTCCTGTCAATGATCTATCAGCATCCTGCATTTAATTTGTTATTAAGATTACTGTAAGTGTATTTAGTTTAACTTCACAGTTTCAGTGTAAACTACCTCCATCCCCCATTTGATATAATCTGGTGACTCGCATGCCTTGTATTCATCAACCAAGCTTTCTATTATTTCTCGGGACTCATCAAACTCGGAAAGATCATTATCCTGTTGAGGGAAGCGAATAACTCAAATAAAACAGATGCTCATTCTACAAGTCTATTATACACACTAGGTTCTTATCTCTGTGTAGATAGAGGATCATGGTTTGATGTGTTTTCTTAAAGCAGAACAACAACTAATCGCATAAAAGATAAAGGGTTAAAAAAGATTACACTAAGAAATGTATGGTCTTTAACTGCACAAGAAATACTACAGAAAGGGAGACATGATGGTTAAAAACTCATGGGATCATTGTCTCTATCACTTTTTCTCTATTCCTTCTCACACAGTGAAAAAACTTTAACAAGACCCTCAAAGTGTTGAAGGGTGAAAAAGGATTCCGCCAGCGAAGCACAAAGATCTGAGCAAAGACTGTCATTGTTGAAAGCTTTTACAACGAGAAAATACAGGTTTCAATAATTTGAATCATGTCCATGGATGACCAGGAGGCAAGGCCAATGAAAATAATGAAAAATAAAAAACCAACATAGGCTCCCAAGTTCAAAATTAATATCTAACCAATCTTAGAAGCTGTATAGCCTTGATGTCAGTACATAAAGCCTAAGCCGAATTCCAAAATTCAATGAGACTTTTCGTTTGAGTTACCAAGGAGCTGGAAATAACCTGTCTCTCTTCCAATAAACCACAAGCTAGGAATCTCATTTTATGAAAAATTAATTAAAATGATGGAAGAAGGAACAATCCCTGCCTCAAAAGGAACCATATAACTGAATGACTTTGCATATCAATCAACACAACTGAGAGTCATAATTGCCTCAAATAAAGCTTCTAATCTAGGTTATCCGGATCTTCATATGGGCTCCCGTATCCATGTCCGATACTTCCCATATACGTTTCCGTGTCCGACAATCCTTGGACACTTCTCAAATATATGTATATGTTTATTCAGACATGTACTCAATTATATATGCATGTTTTAATTTAAGACACTCGTGATACATTTCTTGGATGTATACCTTACACTTCACCTCAAATTTATGCAACTTGTTGGATCCTTTTTGGGTTCGTTTCATCACACACCAAGTTCATAAGTATGATTTTAAAGGGTCATTTGGGTACCTAGTTCAAAAACAAGCTGCTTTTCAATCTATAATCTACTTGATAAAAGAAACTTAATAAGTTATAGGGTAAATATCGTAACATGTGAATGAATGAAAACACAATATCGATCTCATATAAATAATTTATTTCAGTATGTATATACGTATATAGCAGTGTCCTCGTATCATATTTTTCACAAATGTGCTGTGTCCCGTATCTGCCACCCATGTCCGTGTCTGCATCCGCAGTCATACCCGTGCAACATATCTCCTAGTAATAAGAAACGCATTTCCCTAACCCAATACACAGATATTTTTATCCACATAAACATCAACACAGAAGTTTATCTTTCAAAAACAAATCAAACTTGAGAAACTATTGAGGGCTCTCAAATCTCGGTTGAAATAAAATTAGCTTTCAATAAACTGATCGATTACATTAAGAGCACTAATCTTGAGTTTTATGTTTCTGTAGTTATCTGTCAATTAAGAATGTTAAAAGAAACACTCTCAAATTTCTAGAGTTCATTGATAATGCAAGAAATTACATGTAAACCCCAAAAGATCTGTGTTTTGCTTAATACATGCAAAGACCTAGAAAAACTCTTGGAAAACTAGTAAGCAAGTAGAATATATAGGAAAAATATCATAAAAATGCTGAATTTTGTAAGCTTACAGCAAACATTGGGAACTTCCGATAGTTGTCAAGGAAAGCCTGTTTTTTCCTTAGCTTCTCATACTGTCCCAGGCACTTGCTGAAGAGATGGCGTATGCTAGTGTGGTTTGCTAACATTAAACCACTAACCTATAAAATTCAGAAGAGTTACAAAACTGATAGTTGATATTGCATGCAAGGACCATGAAACAACCAATTGTTTGTTGAATATTAACTCAAAACAACTGATAAGCATGATTCCTCTGCACATAATATACTTCTTTCCTCCTCCAGTGGGGATTGGGGAACAGAAAGTAGAGGATGCAATTTATTCGTCTAAATATTGAATAGATGAAAGTAGGGTGCCCTTACTCTATGCGTAGTTTGAACATAAGGAGATTTTCTAGACAATGCAACCTGCAGTTAATCACAATTAGTGACCAGAGCAAATAAGAATGAGGAAGTTCAACGGAATCAATGGATAATTTTGTATACTGTTCAAATAACCTGAATGCTAGCAGGTCCCCACTCGATGAAATTTACAAGCTTTCTTTCACGGATTCTCTGCAAGCTTTCATGTACCTGATTTTAAAGTGAAAAATAAAAATATTAACATGGAAATCACAAAATTGCTACGACAGTCAAAATTTAATGGCTGAAAACAAAGGAATTATAAGAAGGTCCTAGTATCAATATGAAGAAAAAGAAACTGCTAGTCTATCATTTTTTGAGTCATACTTATGAATAGATCGGGACAATCAGTGTTTTAAATATCGGCCGTCATGTCGGACATGGCGGCCGATATGACGGTTTTATACCCTAGCCGCCATGATATCCTTCATTTCAATGCGTATTGCGTTTCTGAGGTCATGTCGGGGACATGTCGGAAAATATCGGGTATGTCGGGCGCCATTGCGGCCAAGAAATATTGGCCAAATTTCAAAAAAAGCGATTTTAAGCTTATTGGGTCAAGTTTGAAAAACCCGACTCGGAAATCAGGTGTCTACAATTGGTTAGTGATCCTAACATCAATAAGTTATGTACTTTTTTATATGTTTAGACAATAAAATTATCAAGTATGTGAAGATTCCATTTATGATATTATATCAACCTATCCGATATGGCAATCCGATATTTTTTTCATGTCCACCGATATATCCCCGATTTCCGCTATCCGACATGAATTTTGGCCGACCGACATGAACCCAACATCCGACATTTAAAACATTGGGGACAATAATATTCCAAAAAGCAATCCTAGATAGGTTTAACCCTTCGCATATTCCAAAAGATTTACTATGCCAACCCAGAAAAATAGCGTAGTATTGCACAAAAATAGCATACAATATTGCTCGACAGCATCCTGCATGTTATGATAGCCATCTTCCACCTTGAAAATTGAAATTTACTTAATTTTATACTCAAATGTTACTGATAGCTACTTAAACATCATGCAAGGTCAAAATCTCATACCTAGGTTGTATAAATACAGATATATATATATAATGTCTCTGTTAGAGTATAAAGTTATTAACTCTTAACCCTCACAAAGCTTTTAAAGTTTTGGTATTGTGAATAGAATTTTAAGATGGTGTTAGAGCAACATGGACGTTAAATCTCACCAAACACATAGTTAAAGCAGATTTTATTAAGAAATGTTACTGCTAACTAATGTAGCACGAGTTTCAATCCATGCTCCATGTATGTCGGCATGTTAGAGTAGAAAATTTTATAACTTTCAACCCTCACGATAACTTTGTTACCATTTTATAAATCAGCACTCTCGAAGTTGTTGGGTCCTTTTGTTTTGATGATGTTTAACAAACAATTTACCACTAATGTTGTTTGTCTAGTGTTTGTGTTTTCGTATTTATTCTAGGAAAACAACGAGTTAGAGGTTGAATGGAATAACGCTTCAACAATCATATCCAATGGAGGTTGACGGAATAGGTGGTTGAAGCCTATGCAATTCAAGTTGAAGATCCAAGTTCAAGCTTCATCCGCAAAGTGTACCAAGTTAAGCTATATCAAAGATCAAGATTACTTGGGTAATTTAGTTTTAGGTTTATATTATGTGTGTTAGATACTCTAAGCTCAATATTATATACACACACATTATATTGGTTTCTATGTATATATATAGTTATATATATACATGTTTTGGTTTTTATAAGTTTTCAAGTTTAAATATGAAACAATTGAATATAATTGGGAAATATATTTTTGTTTCATGTTTGTACATGCTTATATATGATTTCATAAATAGCAAGTTTATTTAGTCAATGAAATCATGTTTATTGCAAAATATGTAAAACATTATGTTTTTGGTTTATAGACTTAACAACAATAGTTTATATCTTTTATCAAGTCTATAAAATTATTTTATAAAGTTTTAAAAGTTTGTTTAAATCAATATGTCAAAAACATATATGTTTAGTTTTCATGTTTTTGGACATTTTTGTAAAATGATGAGATTTCTCATTTGAGATGTGTTTTTTAAAAACCAGTTTTTGTAACATGTGTATTATCATGTCTACAATCATTTCCCATAGTTTCATAATTTTTAGAATTTATTTGCTAATTTTAAAAAAGGTTTGAAAATAAGTTTTACTATTTGATTCAGGCTGATAACCTGTTATCAGTCGACTAGTAAGTCGACTGATGACATCAACCAGTCGACTGATGTGTCGACTGAAGAATATGTCTGGAATCAATAAAAAGTTTCTGTTTTGTTTTAGTTGACTGACCAATCGACTAATGAGGTCATCAGTCGACCGATCAAATCATCAGTCGACCTCAGTCGACTGACGAGCTAGAAGCTGACTCTAACGGTCAGCTCATCAGTCGACTGACGACCTAACGGTTAGTTTTTTCAGCTTTCTGTTTTTTTTATCTTTTTGCTGGTTTTGTTGGTTTCTTCTTGGCTTTGGGGTTTCCTATAAATACCCCATATATCCTCAGTTCATTTTAAGAAGAGAATGTTTTAAAACAAGTTTAAGAGTGTTTTAACAAGGGTTTGAGTTTTGGTTTAAGTTTGTTTAAAAAGCTTTTAAGCATTTCCAAGTTTCGGTTTGTGAAGATAATTTCACAAGAGCTAGAGAATATCATCCATTGGTGTTTGAGCATTCAACTCTTCTCCCTCTCTCTTGTTATCATATAGAAAAGTTTTCCTAAACTCAATCTAGTTATTTTATATGTTTGATTTTCATTTCCATTAAGCTAGAATTTATTTGAGTTTAGTTTGATTTGATTTATCTTTTTGTTCACACACAACCTATTGAGCTTATTGTATTTACATTCATAGTATAATTTTGGGTTGTGGGTTTGTGACTTAGAGTGTGAGCTTATATTGTGTTCTCACCTTGTTTAGAGAACAAATCATTTGTTGTTAGTGAGCTTAATTGTGAGGATTCACTTTGTATTACACTAGTATACCAAGAGGAGTGTGGTGAGAGACGGGGTCGTCCCAAGAGGAGTGGGGTAGATGGTAATGCCTAGAGAGAGGTTGTAATTCCTAACACTTGAGGGAGACACGGGTTAGAGACCAACACTTGAGGTGGTAGTTAGTGTGTTTATATTGTGAGTGATTGTAAAGTTTTCGGTGAACTAGAAAACCGAGTGTGATGTGTATACGTTATTTGGGTGAGCGTGAAAAACCTGGTTGTGATAATGGAGATCTCCTCGAGGTGAGGAGCGGAGACGTAGGTCGTGGGGACCGAACTCCGTGATCATATCGTTTGTTTGCGTTTGTCATTGGCGTTCCTTTATATTCGTGCTTATTATTTATATCGTCTTTGTCAATTGCTTATTGTTTATATCGTCCTATCACTTTAGTAGTTTGTTTACCCTTGTGTTCTTTGTATATCCTTGCACATATATTGTTCATATCTCTTGTGCTAGGATATATTTGTTAGTAAAGTTTTTATTTGGCATTAAAACGGATTAGATTAGCATAAACCCTATTCACCCCCTCTAAGGTTCCTTCCTAATGGCATTAGCGTGCTTTCAGAAGTGACGTCACATGTTAGAGCACAGGCGAGGCTAAGCATGTAACCATTTCCTAGGTTCAGACCAATATATTAGATCTCAGTTTTCAGCACAGGTCCAATTAAGCTCCACAGTTAAAGTGTCACTCAGTTGGGAATGGATAAACCTTACGATTCTCCTCTTATCGAGCAGTTTTTCTTTTTGGTGTTAAAAGTGTTTTTCCGCATGAGCTTCTCTTGTATAAGTAATGGAATGGGACTTCTCCTAATTCTTTCAACAGTTCATTCAGGCTTTATGTGCAACCCCACGTCGGTTAACTACACCAGGATCTTCAGCGGTGATTCATGTTATATAGACTTATAGAGGTTTCCAGGTTAACGACTAACAGTGCACCGAGGGTTGACGTTTTATTTATTCCTCGACAGAGGCTGCTACTGTCAGGGGCATGCTCAATCTGCAACTCCATTTTGGTTAAAAAAAACTTTCGAAATGATGACAAGGCAGTCAAAGATCTCATTGGCAATTATATTTAAAAAGAAAGGGTAGAATGAAAACAAAAACTTGTGAGGAAGCTACTTTCCAGCTGCTTCTCAAAAGAAAATTGCATAGCTTTCATATGGAGGTTAAGCAATAATATAGTTCCTTAGCAGTAAGATATTTGCATGGATACATGGAGTTCTCAAGCGGTAGAAAAATATAGAAAAAGCATGAGATATTAGCATGATTCCATGAACGGCTGAGAATGACAGATAACTAGATTAACAATTGAGAATGATATTTTGATAAATGATGAAGTTACTGGAGAATAATTACCTTAACGATATTTTATAAGGAAAAAAACTGCTATAATAAAATGTTAACCCGTAAGTATATCTCTTTCAACAAATACCTGTGTAGGATCAACTTCTCCTTGAATAATGTTCAGAATTGATATATATTTTGCTTGACTAGCTTCTTTTGTGCGAGCATATGAAGAGACCATGATGTTTTTCGTCTACAGAATGGCAAGAAGCACACTAATAATTTAGATAAAGTATAAGCATAACAGATCTTTGATTAAGCAAGAGAAACTTGCCTGTAGTAGTCTTCTCATTACATCCAATACAGTAGTCTTCCGGATAACATTAACCTGACAATGAAAGAATGTCCAACACAGAGTTTGAACTTTACGAAGTAAGTAAATTTTAGGGGGAAAAGTAATGTAGAGATATGGCAGATATTATCAAGATCAAGCCGAATCATTATCTGTGTAGGTCAAATGGCAGATCACACTTTGAAATCATAGATTACTGAGACTAGCAGAATAATGAATCAAAAACATTGAATAATACTCCCAAAATCAAAAGAAATGTTCCCTTAGGTTGCACCCCTATTATTTATCTCTTTGCATTAGTTATTTACGAACCTATGCAACATACACAAGATGATATATCATATTCTATGTTATTTGCCAATGATATTATAGTATTAATTGATGGGTATCGACCGGATAATTTCAGTACAAAGGTGGAAAGAACCTCTCAGCTTCCAAAGAGTTTAGAATTAGTAGAACAAAACTAGAATACCTGGAATGTAACTTTAAATTGTGAAAAAGAAATGAGCATATAGCACATATTGATGGTCAAGAAATGCCCAAGACTAACAATGTTTGTTATTTAGGATTACTTCACTTCTTGTTTTCCCTCTCTACTTTTCTCCATTTTCTCCTATTATTCTCCCTGTAACCATCCTAACTTCTCTAACATGTTCTTTGTTGTTCTGCTTTCTCTTCCAGATTACATGTGTTAAATAATATTGAGGGCAGAGGAAATTAAATTGGTGTTTTTACCAGCAATACGGATCATTTCTCTTAACATTTTGGTTTACCTTCCTCCAAATTTCTTCCATAAAAACGGCAGCCCCTATTTTTGCTCATAAGGCAGCTAGTAAATATAACAAAATTAATTGTGTCAAGCACTTCAGAAACATTTTTCGCAAGGAATTCAACATTAAGCTAAAAAGGTAACATATCACCGGATGGAAGCGCTACCAAGATCTAGTTGCTATCCCGATTCAACGTTCATGTGGGAGTGAATTGTAGATAATTTGCAAGAAGGAAAAAAGGAAAATATAATTAACCACAGACTACAAAACTCACTGACTGTTCCATGGCTTTATGCCGTAAGAGCGTAATTTCTCATGTTTAAAATTTAGACAAGCTTTAGAAACAAGAGATATTATGTGATCAGGAAACTAGCCCTGCAAAAGGTCACACAACTAAATCTTAGCAGATGCTCATAAGAAAGTTTCTTGTGGTAACTTTAGCATTTAAGGATCCAACATTGAATATCACTGTATACATGATCAGAGCTGAAGGAACAAAACATGCTTTTGAGTTTTGACATTTGGGACATCTAGGCGTACACGATTTTCTTGATATACATATAGTGTTCGCTGTGGATGCTAGCCACAAGGCAAATCAATATAGTGAAATCTTGAGTTGAATTTGTCTACAAGCATATTTCTTAGAAAGTAAAAGCTACATCTAAACAACATCTAACCTGGCGCTCCACAGTTAATGGTGTATACCCTGTCATCAGAAAATGGCATCTTGGAGTAGGAATTAGAGAGGCAAGAAGTCCAACCAAATCATTGTTCATGTATCCCGGATATCGCAAGGTGGTTGTGCTTGCAGACATAACCGTCGAGACCAGGGAATTTGTCTGTGCAAATGTAGGATTTGTAAGGTGGAGACGCTCTACAGCAATCCGATTCAGTGCCGTATTGTCAAGAACAACAACACAATCAGCATTTAATGTAAGGCGCTTCAGAGTCAAAAGTGAATTGTATGGCTGGACAACCACATCACTCGTTTCCATTTGGTTTGGAAACACACTATATGTCTGGACTAGTTTTTTGCTGTAGCGGTCATTAAGAGTCTCCAATATATAAGATCCCATTCCTGCATCAAAGCAAAGGTTAAGAGATATAACATTATCAAATTGCTTGTGCTTACAAGACAGAGATAAATGAGACTGCTTCTCGTAGTTTTTTTACTATACAATACAAACTGCCTACCTGATTATTTAGCCTCCTTTGCAAGATATTATATTCTCTTAGAAAAGAAATGACATAAAGTTATGCAAGATGCATTTGTCTTTCTCTTGAAACTTCTATGAAACAATAACAACACTCCAAATGGCAAGCAACACCTTGTAAGGAGAAAAATTCCATCTACCACTTCAGTGGTCATCATAACTATTAATTACTGGCACATAACCTCTCTCCACTCTATAATCAGCATATTAAGGTACATTGTTTAATACAATACAACTACATAATGTAACTGAGATAAATTTGAGGCGCTGTGATAAGACCAAAAATACAGTTGATTATATTTTTAACAAAGTTCATCAATGTATTATGTACTACTCCTACAGACAAGTTAATTTATCCCTGATAAAAAACCAGGAGAAGATGCAACAATTCTGAAAGGAAATGAGACAAAAGGCCAACTTAAGAGAATAAATCACCTATTTATATTAATTAAATGAGAATTTCCTAAGATGCTAAATTGCACATCCAGATTCAGCGGGAGGACATAATTTATTGGAAATTCATCTCTAATATGTATTAGTTAAACAGAAAGGCTTAAGAAGTTGCACCATGACTTAGATAAATATTAAATATGTGACAGAACAAAGGAAATTCAAAGAAAGTTAATAAAGAAGAACCTGATCCTGTTCCTCCAGCAATTGAATGACATAAGACAAAACCCTCAAGGCTATCACTTCCGTCTGCCTCTCTATCAACCATGTCCATGATATCATCCACCACTTGCTCTCCCTATTAAGAAACAAAGAAATAAGCAGGATTTAAGCCAGCATGAGATTCATGACATCCTTGCATTTAGAATTTGCAAGAAGATGCATAAACGTAAGTGTTTGATCAATAAAGAAGAAATGATGAGAAGTCGGAACTTCTTTTGAAAACTTTTAAACATAACAAGACCAAATTTGAAATTTTTACTTGTTTTAGGAACATGAAACGATGACTTTCATGAAGGTATACAATGCTAAATGTGAAATGCATGCAAGTAGACGCAGGAAGAAACCTCTTGCTAAATGATAACTTGAAGACTTAACTGAACGCCCAAATTATGTGTTTGATACCACACCTTCACTTTTTGGCAGTGAGCTTAAACTTAATAATAGCAGCAAAAGCCTATTTGAGGATGGTTCAGGTTTATATAACCCGCTATTTATTCAAGCAAAAGAAAATGTGTACCAACTAAAACATCATGTTGGCAAACCTGGTGATACCCACTGGCCCAATTGTTTCCTGCACCCCCTCCATGTTCTGAGACAAATATGTTCTCGTGGTTGTAGAGGTTTCTGTAGTCACTGTTTTGTATTCCATTGATAACTCTAGGTTCAAGGTCCATCAAGAGAGCTCGTGGTATGTAGTGTTGATCATCTGCTTGATAAAAGAAAACATCCTTCCTATCTCCTCCCTGCAGTAAAGTTGATAGAATAATTCAATAAAGTGACTAGTTGAATTACCAACTAAACATAGAAGACACCACACAAATGGAAATAAAGTAAGGATAAAAATCCTTGTACATATCAAGTTCCAAAAATGCAATTTGATATCAGTAAGGACATGAGTTAAAAGCTATGGGGATGCCACAAGATGCAATTTCTAGGGTACTCAATGCTCCTGCCTTCTGACACAGCTTCCCTGAGTTAATGTATGATACTGTTTCTTTAAAACTAAAGAGGTTCAACAATTAAAGCTCAAAATAATAAAATAAAATAAATAGTATGAATGTAATTTATGAACAAACATAGTGAAGAAAAATATCCTTTTCAATTGAATGCAGCTCCATGATAGTTGAAGAGGAAGAAGAGACAGTGAGGTGAAGATCTGAGCTTGAGCTCTCCTCTGATTTGTGTGATCTCTCTCTTTCTGTGAGTTTTGTGCTCCTGTGAGCTTTGTGCTCTCAACCCCTTTGTGTGATCCCCTTTTGTGAGTGACGGTTGGAGGAGATCAGTGAACTCTCCCTTTGTGTTCTTGGTGGTGCACTGTGAGAGAAGAATAGGACTGATTTCAGCAGGCTTCTGAGCCAAATATCATCGACGACGATCCTTAACAGTGGTATCAGAGCTCGGTGAGTCGTCGCCCTTCCAATACCTTCAAGATTATCTGTGTTAATTCGCTGCGTTTAACTGCTGAAATTTATCTGCTGAAAAACCTTTTTTTTGTCCCACTGCGGTTATCTGCTGAAGTTAACATTTGTATTTTATTGTGTTTTTTCTGTTTGAAAAAATGTCCGCTGCTAATCAATATAGTATGATTCAATATGGTATGGCCCCGTTCAACGGAAAATCTGATTTTAGCATTTGGAAACAAAAAATAAAATGCATTTTAATTCAACAGAAGTCGTTTAGGGCTGTTGATCAGACTTATTTAACTTCTGACACTGAAAATAAACGGGCGGAAATGAACGAAAATGCTTGTTCCACAATTTATTTGAATTTATCTGACTCTGTGATTAGAAAAGTTGGAATTTTAGAATCTGCTAAAACCCTTTGGGACAAACTTGAAGAACTCTATACTGAAACCTCTTTGCCCAGTAAAATGTTTTTGCTTGAAATTTTTTTCAAATTTAGATTGGATATGTCTAAGGACATTGAGGAGAACCTAGATGTTTTCACAAAACTTATTTCAGATATTAAGTTAACTGGTGATAAACATATAGATGATTATACTCCTATTGCCCTTCTAAATGCTATTCCTGACTCATATAATGATGTGAAATCTGCTATTAAATATGGTAGAGATGAGGTTACCCTTGATGTTGTGGTCAATGGTCTTAAGAGTAAGGAATTAGATTTAAAACATTCTGGGGGAAATAAAAATTCTGGTGAGGTTATGCATGTGAGGGGTAGGCCTCAGAATAGGTCTAATTACCAAAAGAATGCTAGTAATGGGGAATAAAGTAAGAAAAAATTTGAAAAATGGAAGGGGTAGATCTAAGTCCAGGTTTAAAGCTAAAAAATGCTATAATTGTCATGAAACTGGTCACTTTATTAAAGATTGTCCTAAGCCTAAGAAAAATCAGCAAAATGAACATGCTAATATGGCTGTCTGTGAGGGCAAAATGGGTGAGATTTTCATGATTAATAATCTGTGTGATTATGCATATTTGAACTCTGTGTTATCTGATCCTTTGTGTAAATCAGATTGGTTGGTAGACTCTGGTTGTACTTTTCATATGACTCCTTTTAAAACCTTGTTTTCAAACTACAAGAAAATAAAGAATGGCTTTGTGTTAATGGCAAATGAAAAGAAATGCAATGTTTTAGGAACTGGTGATGTATGCCTTAGGTTTTCCTCTGGTTCTGTGTTTACTTTGAAGGATGTTAGGCATGTTCCTGATTTACGTTATAACTTGATTTCTTGTGCATCTCTAGAAAATGATGGTTTGGAGGGAAAATGGGGTAAAGGGGTTATGAAAATTCAAAAAGGGTCTCTTGTTGTTTTTACTGCTGAAAAACAAAACAATTTGTATATTTGTCATGCTGAACCTGTGCTTGATTCTGTTAACTCTGTGATAGGTGATAAATCTGTTTTATGGCATAATAGATTAGGTCACATGAGTAATAAAGGATTAGAAATTTTGCATAAAGGAGGTCACTTTGGTAGTGATAAAATATCCCCCATCCCTTTCTGTGAATCTTGTGTGCTAGGAAAACAACATAGGGTTACTTTTCCTACTTCTTCTTTTCCTAATCAGTCTAAGTGCACTAGTGTACTTGAATATTTGCATGTTGATGTGTGGGGTCCCTCTAGTGTGCCTACGTATGGAGGGAACCAATATTTTCTTTCCATAATTGATGATTATTCTAGGAAAGTTTGGGTTTTACTCATGAAACAAAAATCTAAAATTTTTGATAAATTTAAAAACTGGAAAATTATGATTGAAAACCAAACGGGAAAGAAAATTAAAACTCTTAGGACAGACAATGGTCTTGAGTTTTGTAACAAACAATTGAATGATTTGTGTACTACTTGGGGTATTAAAAGGCATAAATCTGTTCCCTACACACCCCAGCAGAATGGGGTTGCTGAAAGGATGAATAGAACTCTCTTAGAGAGGGTGAGGGCTATGTTGGCCACATCTGGGCTCTCCAAGAAGTTCTGGGGAGAAGCTGTTTGTACTGCGGCCTATTTGATTAATAGGTCTCCTTCTGTTCCCTTAGGAGGAAAATGCCCTGAATTTGTGTTCACGGGCAAACCTCTTGATTTAAATAATTTGAGAATTTTCGGGAGTGCTGGCTATGTGCATCAAAAGATTGATAAGTTAGAACCTAGATCTAAGAAATGTGTTTTCTTAGGATATCCTGAAGGGGTAAAAGGTTATAGGCTTTGGAATAAGAGTGAACCGGGGTTTAAGGTAGTGATAAGCAGAGATGTTGTTTTTAATGAAAATAAATTTCCTTGTTTACCTTTACATGTTCCTATTCCTGAAAATGATGCCCCAAATGAGGTGGAGCAAAAGCCTATTATAAATCAACCCAAATCATTTTCTGAAGAAAAATTGAATGATACAATTATTAAAAATCAAGATGAGATTATTCCTAATGAGGTGGAGCATGATATGCAGGATATAGATAACATGCATGATTTAAAATCAAGATGAGATTATTCCTAATGAGGTGGAGCATGATATGCAGGATATAGATAACATGCATGATTTGAATGATTATCAACTCACTAGGGATAGAAATAAAAGAACCATTAGGAAACCTGAAAGATATAGAGATTGCAATTTGATTGATTGTAATATGTCTGAGTTTGCCTTTAATGTGTTTGAATCCCTTGAGTGCAATGAACCTAAGACTTATAAAGAAGCATTAAGGTCAAAATATTCTGAAGAATGGATTAGTGCTATGAAGAGTAAGATGGAATCCCTAAAAATTAACCAAACATGGAAACTTGTTCCTAAACCTGCTAGTTGTTCTGTAGTGGACTGTAAGTGGCTGTTTAAGGTGAAACAAGAATCTGAAAGTATTAGGTTTAAGGCTAGGTTAGTAGCTAAGGGATTTACTCAAAAGGAGGGAATTGATTATGCTAAAATTTTTGCTCCTGTTGTCAAATTCACTACTATTAGAATTATGCTTGTTTTAGTTGCTCATTTTAATTGGGAATTAAAACAAATGGATGTAACTACTGCTTTCTTGCATGGTGATCTTGATAAAAATATTTATATGCACCAACCTGAGGGCTTTGTGGACCCTAAATTGCCTGATCATGTGTGTTTGTTAAAAAAGATTTTGTATGGTTTAAAACAATCACCTAGGCAATGGAATATTAGATTTGATAAATGCATGCAATCTTTAAAGTTTAAAAGGAGTTCTGCTGATCATTACCTGTATTATAAGAATATAGACTATGTGCCTGTATTTCTTGTAATTTATGTGGATGACATGTTGATTGTTAGTCCTTGTTTGAAGTCTATTAAGCATGTTCAAAAATATCTTTGTGAAAATTTTAACATGAAAGACTTAGGTGATGCTAAAAGAATCCTAGGCATGAATATTATTAGGGACAAAAACAAATCTACTCTAGTTTTAAACCAAAGTTCATATGTTAAAAAAATTTTGAGTAAATTTGCTATGTCTAATGCCAAATCTGTGAATGTGCCTCTTGCTTCCCATTTTGTGTTAAGTAAGGATCAATCTCCCAATACTGAAACTGAAATAAATGATATGAAGAAGGTGTCATATTCGAATGCTATAGGATCAGTCATGTATCTCATGGTTAGTACTAGGCATGACATTGCATATGCGATTAGTTGCTTGAGTAGATATATATCAAACCCTGGTATGCCTCATTGGAATGCCTTGAAGTGGCTTTTAAGATATTTGAAATCCTCTGTGAATGTAGGATTAACCTTTTCTAAGTGTTCTGAAGGTGTCAAACTTGCTGGCTATGTAGATTCTAATTATGCAAATGATAGGGATAATAGAAAATCTACCACTTCCTATGTGTTTACTTTGTGTGGCTCTTGCATAAGTTGGAAATCCCAATTACAACCCATTGTTGCTTTATCTACTACTGAATCTGAGTATGTTGCTACCACTGAAGCTTTTAAAGAAGCTATTTGGCTTAGGGCCTTATATCTGAAATTGGTTTTCTTGATAAAAATGTGGTTGTATTTTCTGATAGTCAATCTGCTATTCAACTTTGCAAAAATCCTGTTTTTCATGATAGAACTAAACATATTGATGTTAGATTTCATTAGCTTTGTGATTTTTTCCCCTTTGAACTCGATGATCGTTTGGTAGAGTTCGGTCCTTTGTGGACTTGGTATGCTTGGTGATTTTACCCCGATCTTTGTGATCTGAGTTTACTTAGTGTATTCTCTTCCATTGCTTGTATCTTCTTTGTAATTATACAGGTAATAATTTGGCGATAATGAGTCCTGCAGTTCCGTGTTTTTTCTCTGTGCACTACCTTGGGCCAAAGATGGAGATTGTTGCTATTTGTTGGCCCAAAGCTTCTGGCCCGTTACCAAAAGGCACATTTCCTTTTTGTTTATTTGATGTGCCCTAGCTTTTATCTGATGTGCCCTAGCCCCTCTATTTTCTTCTCCTACCCGATGGTTCTCACCTCCCAGTCTTCGTGATCTGATGGCCGCCGCTTGTGAGCTCCCATCCGTAGGTCGGCTCCCTCCTTCGTTTTCTTTCCTAGCTCCTCTCCCGTGTCGGCTGCCCCCATCCCTATATATGGGTAATGGGTTGGTAGTAGCTCGGTAGAGGGATGAAGAGGAAGAAGAGACAGTGAGGTGAAGATCTGAGCTTGAGCTCTCCTCTGATTTGTGTGATCTCTCTCTTTCTGTGAGTTTTGTGCTCCTGTGAGCTTTGTGCTCTCAACCCCTTTGTGCGATCCCCTTTTGTGAGTGACGGTTGGAGGAGATCAGTGAACTCTCCCTTTGTGTTCTTGGTGGTGCACTGTGAGAGAAGAACAGGACTGATTTCAGTAGGCTTCTGAGCCAAATATCATCGACGACGATCCTTAACAATAGTCTTACAGGAACACACATGTGATTGAATTCTATTGAACTGACCATCTTATATTACAAGTTACGATTCGCAAATATCGATCACACGCACAACGCATATAGTTATAATAGATTTGCCATATGCATGAATATTGGCCCTTTGTAAACATGTTAATTTATTGACATTTTCATGTTAGATTTCCCAGAATAGCAATCCATTCGGAGAGCTTTAGAACCTTTTTGCTAGGCAATGACTACGATGACATGACCTGACATTTTCAGTGGATCTTGCCTGCTTAGGATTGCACAACAGTAAAGCACCCCCTTAATCAACTATTACTTACAAAGAAGTGTATATGATTTCAAGTAAGTACTTATTCCCTAACGTTACACTTATCAATCTTAGATGCATAAATTTCAACATTATATACATAGAAGTTGGAAATTTCAGTAATGGGCTAAAAGCCTAGACTGCTAAAACAAGACTGCTAAAACATGAACCATACAGAGAGAGGATCAGAAGAAAATCTTAGATAATTGCCAATTTAACTAAGGAGATGATATTGTGGCTAGATGAATTATGAAAAAAATTGGTAACCTATGCAAAAAGAAGTATATTTAGGGGCTGTTTGTTTCACCAAGGGCTAGGAATAGGATTAGGAATCCTATTTAATTTATGGATTCCAACCTAATCCATAAAAAATTTATAGACAAGTTTTAGTTTTATGGAATCCTATTTTTTTATCATTCAATGTTTGTTTCACCCAAAGGATTAGGAATCTCACTTTTATAGAATTGGTCCAATTCCTAATACCATGTTTGGTTCAAAAAGACCCTTTTTTTGGGATCGATACTGTAGCAACGGCTAGCCCATTTTACATTTAAAAAATCACTGTAGCAACGGATTGAAGCCACAAAATTCAGATTTCAAGCGAAACAACACTGTAGCCTTCTGCATATGAAAGAAATTACTGCCATAATAGTTGGATTCAACAAAGATAATACAAAGCGAAACAAGTTTTTGAGTGAAATCTATTGAGTTACCAATATCAATATTTCTTGACAAAACACAAGCATACTTTTTGAACACTTCATCGAGACAATACATAAAAATTAAATCTTAAACAGTTTTATTGTATCATATCTATTTAGATTCCCAAATTTCACTATCCAAAACCAAAACATCGACTCATACGCACAATATCAGCCTCCCATTTGATCCTAAATTGAGTCTCAATCAACACTAGAGATAACTATCTTGATATAAATCGAAAGCTACAACTTTAGCAAGCTAATCACTGTAATAATTCTACTCAAAATTAAAACTTCTAAACATATTACTACCAAAATTCCATCAAAATGTATCACACCGCATAATGATCCAATTCAAAAGCAAGATAAATACTTACCTTGCTTCGATAAAATCTTCTTAAGATAGGGATCAGACTCAACGCCGATGTAATCCCCATCGGTGCATTCTCTATAGATCGAAGCTCGCCTTGAGACCTTCATGCCTATGAAAGGGTGGGGATCTCCAGACGCTTCCCTTCCTTCATCTCCTCCTCCGTGATCTTCTTGCTCTCCGCCCTTGTCTAGGGTTCGAGGCACGTCATCGCCATTGTTGTCGAGTGAGTGGTCGTCTAGGGTTTCATGAGAGGGGACCTGGACTCGCCTCAGCGACTTGAATCGGTCCATTGGAGATCGTCACCAGCAGCGAGCGAAGGGGATCGAAGTGTGAGAAGAGGAACAAACCCACCGATGCCACGAAGGAGGAGAAATCCTGAAGCCAACATCCGATTGAATGCCTCGTCTTCGGAAAAGAAATCGAAGAACCGCGGGAAAGTAGGCGCGAAGAAGAGATGAGGCGAGAGAACAGCGGTAACAGCCTCAACCCAGATCTAGGGTGAGTACACCATGGCGGAATCCGAATAAGAAAGAGGAAAGGGAGAGAACAGAGGAAAGGGAGAGAACAGGGGAATGTCAGCTTTTTGCCCCAATTCCTCTCAAACGGAGAGGATTTGGGAGAGGAAAGGGAGAGAACAGGGGAATGTCAGCTTTTTGCCCCAATTCCTCTCAAACGGAGAGGATTTGGGTTTCCATAAAAATCCACTGTTTTGACCACTTTATGGATTTGGTAATCTATAAAAAAAGTTTGAACCAAACTCAAGATTAGAATTCATTTGGAATTCTTTAATTACGAAAATGCCACTGTCAGAGCCTAAATACTAATCCTATTCTATAAAAGGGTGAAACAAACAGCCCCTTAGCATCGTTGGCAGTGTGAGTGATGGTGTTGTTGATGATTATAATGGTGAAATGAAGCAAATTTTAAAGTACCTTTGAGTAGAAACATTATCGGAAATCACACCAATTTCTAACTGTTACTCATCAATTACTTCTAGCTATGTCAGCAGAGAAGAATACTCATCATCAGCTGGAGTGATACAGGGGTAATATTCCATTAAGAATTGTTCTGTTCGAATTAACACTACACCATTCTTTGGAAGTTAGTGACTATGTGTGCTTCTGCTACGTTATCCCGTCAGCAAAATGAGAAGGTAGCAATACAAGACTCTCTCTTCAAAAAACTTTTCCGCCTGAGAATGTTGTGCATTTAAGACATACTACACTAAGGATTCTAGAACCAACAACCAGAAGGTCCAGATTTTAGAACTACCGCTTATTACATTACAATCTATCCACTCTACTTGATACTTCGCAACGTCAATTACCCATAGAACCTACCAAACTTTCTCGTAGCCTTACTAGCGGCTCCAATCAATGATCTCATCAAAAGAACATAAATGTGACGTTTGCTACCGCACGTCCACATAAATTTAGGCCCGTTGAGGAAATTTTCACTTGCATTCAGCACAGACTAGAATCAAGAATCGAACGAGTCACCTCCTATGCCCTAATCTCCCGCCTTGACCGAAATCAGACATCGTCATCTCGCAAAAATAAAGAAAATTCGCCAAAAACTCAACACCGTCACCTAATTACTCAATCGGATGAAAAAAATAGCAAAAAAAATAAGGCTATTCCCTATTCTATCGCCGTCACCTCGTATAAATCAACGGAAATTCACTATTAATCCCACATAATAATCACTAGAAATTGCGTAAAAAATCAGAAAAAATTCAGGAGAAAAGTACGAAGGCGCAGAATCGATCGCGACCTGAGTAGCGAAATCTTCGAGGAGGCCGTCCTTGCCGATGCCGTGCTCGAGGCAGAGCTGCTTCCAGAACTCCATCCCGATCTGGTTCCCGCATTGTCCCACTTGGATCGTTATGATCTCTCGCGGCATTTTCTTCGATTTGAGGAAGCAGGAGTAGAGATCTAGGGTTTTTGCACTTGTGCGATGAGAGCTGGAATTGTTTTTAAAAAGAGGGAGGGAAAATGAGGGGTTTTATTTATCTATGCGTTTTTTCTTGTTTTTCTTTTTCTTTTTTGGGTTATTTGCAGTTAGATGCCTTAAACTTACACCGGTTTAGACTTTGCTGCCATAAAGTTTACGTGAAAAACAGCCCCAAGATAAAAATTTCTTTTACTTCTATATATCTTAAAAGAGAATTTGTAAATATAAAGACTTATTTTCTTTTGTATAGAACAAGAAAAATGACAGATGAAGAAATTGATAATAGCAAGATCAATTTAAGTTACTTTACTTTTCCAAAATAACCCTATCTCGAGATACAAAATAAATTGACCTCTTGAATAGTAATTGGCTACAAAATTTTGCCATTGACAAAACTTTAGAAAGAGATATTTGGCTAATTTAATAATATATTAAATTTTAGATTCTTAAACTAGAAAATTTAGAGTTGACCTTATATTATTTAGAGCAATAATGTATAAGCATCATATGGCAATATTTTTGGTAACATATATTTTTATATAATTTTTAATTTTTAATTTTAAGTGTACAATAATCTAATCTAATGTATTAAAAGTTCGAGAGACGCAAATTTAAAATATAATGATAAAAAAACACGACCGTACTTTGCACGGGGTACATACTAGTACCTTATAATGACTCAACAACAGGGTATACAGTAGTTCAATTATTTAAATTCGGGATTTTCTAGGGAATGTAGAATTTGGGTGCTAATGTTAAAATTGGTGCGGCTGTTTTATTAGGAAAAAAGGTTGATGCCAATGTAAATGTTGCGGTATCTAAATGATAACAACCCTTTCATTTATTTATTTATTTTATCTGTTGGCCTGCGCTTTTTCCTTGCTATGAGGGGTTGTTTGTTTCGTTTCCCCCAGAATCTAAAACCTACTTTCCTTCACTTTTTCACTTTCCTCCACTTTCCAAAACCCACTTTCCTTCATTTTCTTCATTTTCCTCCAATAATATTGTGACAACTCATCCCATCACATCTCATTTCATACTTTTAAAAATAAACAAAACACAAGAAATGAATCACATCAATCAACTCATCTAACTCACTTTCCCTCACTTTTCTTTATTTTCTATCATCTTTAAAAATTACTCACATCATCCAATAATATGGTGACAACTCATCACATCTCATTAAAATTTCCTTCCATCACTTTCCTCCAAAAAATTTTGTAAAATGATTTTCCTAAGTATGTGTCACATCATCCAATAATATAATGACAACTCATCTCATCTCATCTATTTTCCCCCACTTTTAAGAATGAACCAAACACAAGAAAAGAACCTAAACAAGGAAAGTGAAGGAAAACATCAAAAATTACTCACATCAACCAATAATATGGTGGCAACTCATATTCTCCCCCAGTTTCGGTTATAGCTTTGACGAACCAAACCTCTGAAAGTGGAGGAAAACATCAAAATTCACCTTCTTTTCCCCCACTTTCCCCCACTTTCGGTTTTTTTGCGAAACAAACAGGCCCTTATCATGAGCGCGTGGGAAAATAAAAGGGTTCTCTATTTGATGAGCGCAGAATTGGATCCATACTCGAAGGGTCTGTTTGGCAAATGACTCCAAACTGGATCAGCTTTGTTTTATTTTGTAACTAGGCCAGAATTGAACCGGTTGGCAGAATTGAATAAGTTGGGAGCTAGTTCAATTCTAGTCCCGTTAAAAGCATTTAAAATAAACTAAAAATAGTTGGGCCAGCGGTGGCCAAACTTATCCCGACCACAAAAAGATATTAAAACTAGATCAGGTTTCAACCCGACCCAATTTTAGTAGTTTACCAAACAAAGCCCTTAGATTTATTTTTTTGGCTAAATGGCATTGTGTCACTCTTGTAGCACTTAAATATCTTAAGTTACAAAATATATCAAACAAAAACCTTGGGTTGGTGGCTTTTTGAATTTGGCTAGAGCCTAACGGGTTATAAAATTGAATGGACAATAATGCCCCTCCTTTGGAATTAACCCCTATATAAGACAAAGCAATAAATATTACAATGAAGGAGGGTAAAAAGCATTTAATTTGATGACATGCCCTGGGAATATTCTAGGAAATATTATCATCATTGGTTAATAGAAGGTAGCAACTTGCATCTTTTTACCAACTGGGAATACTTTTTTGTTATGTTTCGTAAGTTAGAGACGTTTACTGCTGTAGAAGTGAAACTGTAAGTTATATAAGTGCCATTTTGCCTTTTTATTATTATTATCATTAATTGAACTAACAAAAGAGAATGTGATGGCCAGTCAACAAAGAGAAGGTTTTGATCTTTGTCCCATTTTATGAAAAAAATTAATAAAAGTATAGTTAAGACTAAGTGACCGGACATGAATATAAGAGAACATGGTTTCCTTCCTCTATTTGATGATAAGATAAGAAATTGCTTCAAAACAATTTTCAAAAATAGAAATGATAAAGGCACACCCTTTACCACACCTCCAACCACACCATCTCTCTCGCTACAGTGCACCGGGTCCACATGAGATTTTATTTGGGCCCGGTGCACTGTAGCGAGAGAGATGGTGTGATCGGAGGTGTGGTAGAGAGTGTGTCCCTAGTGCCTCTCTTTCAAAAATAGGGTGATAGTTAACAAAGAAAGAAAACCATAATTTAACTGAACAAAAGAACGTAATTCATGTAACCTACTCTTGAAAGTTAACATATAGGGTATGTTTTAATTTTTTAGATAGACCAAAAAGATCCCCTTGCATAAGTTTCGACAATCTTAAAAGAGGATAAAATTTTGGAAGGTTGTAATCATCTACGTGATACTCTTTTCATTTCCTTTTTCCAGTTCCATGATTTTGAATTATTTTATTATAAGTGAAATTTGTGTCAATGCCCCAAAAGTAATAAGTTTATGTGACCTGAGCCTTCTAATTTTTCTTCATGTGTTGCAGCCCTTAAATTACAGATCTATGTGATTCAGACATTTTCAAGTAATTCTCATGCCAATTAAGCACAAAGAGAGAGAAATAAATATAAAAACCCAAAATACCTTCTTCCTCCTCTCTCTTCATTCTCTCCAAATCTAAATCTAGTCCTTCATCCTCTCCTCTCCTCCTCTCTCTTCATTCTCTCCAAATCTAAATCTAGTCCTTCATCCTCTCCTCTCCTCCTCTCTCCTAACTCATTTACTTCCTCATCTCTCTCTCTTCCTCCTTTTTTCTCTCAGATGCCGACATCCCCCTCCATCGTCGCCGACCTTGCGTACACGCTCTGGCCATATTATTCGTTCCATTTCTTCCATTAAGTTTTCTCGATCCCTTTTTCTTTCCCCCAAATTAAAACTAAAAAAAGCTCTAATTTTTCCTGACACTGAAGGCGAAGAGATGACGAAGAACACGGCGGAGGAGGTGGTGCGGAGGAGGACGAGAAGGAGCCCGATGTTACCACAAGTTCCACAAAACATCCAAGCTATCAGTTTTTAAAGAAATTTGTAATTTCTATTTGAACATCGTGGAAATATGAAAGATTTAATGATATACAGACTTGATGTGATTATTTGAATAATTTTTGATGTTACGTTCAAGTCCAAGGTGGAATATTAAAGCTAATGAGTTAGAAGTGAAGTCCAAGGTCTTGTATGTTAAGTCTATTGGGTTGAATAATAAGTCCAACGACTTGTATGTTAAGTCTATTGAGTTGAATAATAAGTCTAATTTATTGAATATTAAGTGTAACGGGTTATATATTAAGTTTAATTTGGTTCGTGTTAAGTCCGGTTTAGTTCATGTTAAATCCAGTTTGGTTCATGTTAAGTCCAGTTTGGTTCGTGTTAAGTTCGGTTTATTAAATTTAAGTCTAATTTAAATCATTTTAAGTCTAATTTAAATCACGTTAAGTCTAATTCAACTTGTTTTCCGACTTAAAACAAGTTGAATTAGACTTAACATGATTTAAATTAGAACTAACAGGAATTTAACATGGTTAAAATTAGATTTAAAAAAATTAAATTAGATTTAACATGAATCAATCTGTACTTAACATGAATCAAATTGGACTTAACATGAAATTAGACTTAAAATAATTTGAAATAGACTTAACATTATTCTGACCATTCTGGCCACGTTATTCGCTCCTTTTCTCCTACTATTTTTTCCTGCTCTCTCTTTCTTTTCACCCAAAAACTAAAAAAAACCCTCAAATTTATAGGAGTTCCAGTCAAAGGATCGGTCAAGTTCAGTTTGGTTTGTATTAAGTACAATTTAAATCATTTTAAGTCTAGTTTAAATCATTTTAAGTCTAGTTTAAATCGTTTTAACTCTAATTTAAATCATATTAAGTCAAACAATTCATGTTAAGTCTAATTTATTTCCTATTAATTCTAGTTCAACTTATTTTGAGTCTAATTTTGTTAAGTCTAATTGATTCATGTTAAGTCTAATTTCAGTTCCTATTAAGTCTAATTTTAGTTCACGTTAAGTCTAATTTCAATTTATGTTAAGTCTAATTTTAGTTTATGTTAAGTCTAATTTATTTCCTGTAAAGTCTAATACAACTTATTTTAAATATAATTTTATGTTAAGTCCAATTTGGTTCATGTTAAGTTCAATTTTAGTTCCTGTTAAGTCCAAATTTATTTCATGTTAAGTCTAATTTTAGCTTATGTTAAGTCTAATTCGACTTATTATAAGTCTAATTTCATGTTAAGGTCTAAATTAATTCATGTTAAGTCTAAATTCAGTTCATGTTAAGTCTAATTTCAGTTCATGTTAAGTTAAATTCTAGTTCATGTTAAGTCTAAATCAACTTATTTTAAGTTTAATTTCATGTTAAGTCCAATTTTTTCGACCCTAGAGGGGGTGGAGGGTGAATAGAGTCAATGCTAATCTAATCCTAATTTTATGCTAATTAAAAAACTTTCTTAATTAATTAATTTTTGCAAAAGATATATGAATTGAGTTATGAGCAAGAATGTAAATTACAAGCACAAAATAAATATACACAAAGCAAACCCAAACACAAGATATGATCACGGAGTTCAGTCAATCCTTGACCTACATCTCCGCTCCTCACCTCGAGGAGATCTCCACTATATCGGTACACCCGGTTTGGAAGCCGAAACTTCTCTACACACTCCGTTTTTTAGTTCACCGAAAACTCTACAAGTCACTCATAATGTACATACACAAACTACAACCTCAAGTATTGATCCTCACGTATCGCCTCCATCAAGTACTCGACTTCACTATTTTTCACTAGGGTTTACTACCGACGTCACTCCTCTTGGAATTGACTACGTCCTCACCACACACTTCTTTTGGTGTAAATATGTATTACAAAGTGATGATCATAAATGAAGCTCAAATACAATAATTTATTCTCTAACAATGAATGATAGCACAATGAAGCTCACTCTCATAGTATCACTCACCACAATCCACAATATAATGTATGGATTTAATCCTAGAAGCTCAATAGGGATGTGTGTGTGATAAAAGAATTGGGATGTGTGTGTGATAAAAGAGTACAAATAAAATCTAACTCAAACGGAGCTAGCAATAAAATAGATATGAAATTCAAGAGTAAAATGCTAGATAATTGAGTTAGGAAAACTTCTCTATAAACACAAATAGTAGATAATAAAAGATTGAGGATGAATTCCTCAACCAATGATGTAAGCTCCTCTTTGTGAAAACCAAACACCAAACTTGAAACAAACTTAATCAAACTTTAAAACTCTTTTAAAATTTGTTTAAAATATTTTGGGAAATAGTTAATGTAAAGGAGTATTTATAAACCTGAAGAAACCAGCCCAAAAATCCAACCAAAACCCTTAAAAACATTAAAATAATCAAAGCTGTAAACTAGTCGTTATTGTGCCAACGGTTAGTTATAAATCGACTTAACAGTGCACACAAACCCACTTGGCAGAGGAAAATAACAGTTTGAAAAACAGGCTATAAGTCAACTTATATAGGATCACAAGTCGGCTTGCTATAAGTCGACTTGGCCAAGGAAAAATGCACTCTCAAGGGCAGTTCATAAGTTGACTTATCAATACTGATAAGTCGACTTATGAACATGCACAGAAATTATGCATGACCAAAATCTGACTTTTGAGAGGCTTTAAAAAATAATAAATAATTTTAAAAAATATAAAACTTTGGAAAAAGTTTGTAAACATGAATACAAACATGGTGGAAAAGGAATTTTTCAATTTGCACTTACCATTTGTGAAATCTCATAAATATTCAAAAAATACTAAAATACATGTGTATTTAAACATGTTAATTTTGACGTTTTGCTCAAATCAAGTTTAAAAAACTTGTATAATGTTTTTTTATGGACTTAATAAAAGATGTTTATAATGTTTGTATAGTCCAAAGCATATTAAAATATATTTTACATAAAAACACCTATGATTTGAGAAATTTCACAAATAATGTGTGTAGAATTTGAGCTTGAAGAATTAGCACACATTACATATAAACCTATACTAAGTATACCAAGAGTGAATCATATTGATGACAGGCGCAGCACAGGCGGCATGGCATTTTATCTAGGTGACAGTTTGGTCACTTGGACATCACAAAAGCAGAAGACGGTGGCGTTATCATCCTGCGAGGCAGAATTTATGGCGGCAACTGCAGCAGCATGCCAAGGCTTGTGGATGAGGAGTTTAATCAGCGAGGTGATTGGGAGTGAGCCCAAGCCGGTCACACTCTGAAGAATTAGCACACATTACATATAAACCTATACTAAGTATACCAAGAGTGAATCATATGAAGCTTGAAATTGATTGGTTGACTTGATTTGCATAGGCTTCAATATCAACGTAGCTTATTTTCCTGTGTATACTAAACAACCCAACAAAATACTAAAAACAATATTAGTCGTAAATTATTTGTTAAATCATCATCAAAAGAAGAAGGCCAACACAATTTGGTTCATGTTAAGTCCAATTTTAGTTTATGTTAATTCTAATTTTAGTTCATGTTAAGTCCAATTTCAGTTCTTATTAAGTCTAATTTTGGTTAATGTTAAGTCTAGTTTTAGTTCATGTTAAGTCTAATTCTTTTTCATGTTAAGTCTAGTTCAACTTTTTTAGTCTACTTTCATGTTAAGTCATACTTGATTCATGTTAAGTACAATTTTAGTTCATGTTAATTCTAATTACAGTTCATATTAAGTCTAATTACAATCCGTGTTAAATATAATTTTCAGTTCGCGTTAAGTTTAATTTCAGTTCATGAAATCAAATTAGACTTAACATAAAATTAGACTTAAAAATAAGTTAAATTAGACTTAACATGATTTAAATTAGACTTAACAGGAATTAGATTGGACTTAACATAAAATTAAATTAGACTTAATATAAAATTAGACATAAAACAAGTTAAATTAGACTTAACATGATTTAAATTAGGCATTTTTTAGTTTTTTTTTTTGGGGGGGTGGGCAGATCGACAAAAAATTTAGGGAGAAAATGTCACGACCCCATGTCTACGCGCCTGTTGGCGCGTCAAGCTGTGGGACCCACCGAGAGCAACTTGATGTTGACTAAAGTCCACTGCTAAATAATAGCAACTAATTATTCTTGGACATTGAGCCTTCTTCTATTTAAGGCCACTAACATTTCTTCAGCACTAGGTCATGTGGTGACTAAAAGTGTGTGTGTGTGTCGTGGGGGGGGGGGGGGGCAATAATCACCCACCTTACAAAGACAATGTCATCATCGTCACGACATGACAATTGACATATCCCAGTATCACTGCCAGGCGATGTGGACTCTAGAGGTGGCTCCTACGAGCTCTAGAGGTGGCTCCTACGGGCTCTAGATGTAGCTCCCACCGCATCCACACGGTGTAACACTTAGCCCCATATAACACATAGCTCCACACTTCCGGTTGGCAACTGCTCTGATACCATTTTGTCATGCCCCAGGCCCACTGGCCCGTTGGCGCGTGCAAACTGTGGGACCCATCGAGAGCAACTCGATGTTGGCTAAAGTCCATTGCTAAAATGCTAGCACTAGATGTTCTTGGGCATTGAGCTTTTCTAGTGAAGTCACTAATATTTCTTCATACTAGTCCATGTGAGACTAAAGTGGAGGGTATCCTAGAAAAGGAGCGAACAATATAACTGAAACGTGCATGTAAGGTCGACGGTGGCAGCATCTTCGAGAAAAAGGAGGAGGGGGAAGAGAGAGAGAGAGGTGGTCTTATTAATTCCAAACACGTGCGAGAGACATAAAAATAAAAAGAAAAGCAAAGATCAAACTTGTACCGGAGACAGTGGTCTTATTAATTCCAATATTTTGATGATTAACATTTCTTATTTCTGTCACTTTTGGGACAAATTTTTAAAACCATCCGTTTTTAAAATTTATTTTCAAAAAACGATCTGTTTCAATCTTAATTTTAAAAACGGACCCAATTAGTTGAAACTGGGTCGGTTTTTGAAAAAAAATTTCCCAAACTTCACGGGAGTTGATCTCCCGTGGAGTTTTGTTATGAAAAAAAACTTGACGTGAGTTCAACTCCCGTGAAGTTTGAGAATTTTTTTTCAAAAACCGACTCAGTTTTATCTAACTGGATCTGTTTTTAAAATTAAGGTTGAAATGAGTCGTTTTTTAAAAATAAATTTCAAAAGCCGATGGTTTTAAAAAAATCCTCCGTCACTTTTGAAAAAAAAGGAAAAAGAAAAAGAAAAAGAAAAAAGGAAAATCACATTCAGCTCAGTAAAGCAGCCGGGGCGATTGCCGCTGAGACCATGGGCCTAGTGGGCTTTTTATTGCAACTCGCAAGCCAACAAATAGTCACGTATCACTCTACCTCATCATAACTAACATGCTCCCCTCCTCTCCAATTTACAATCAGACCGCCAAACTCGTCAACAATCGCAAGACCACAATAATTAAACATCACCGGCTTACCACTACACCGAATCATCAGAGTAACGCCCGTTTGCTATCCTTTATATCCACGCTGCTATTGTGCGCACCCTTATCTTATCTGGTTCTCTCTCTCTCTCTCTCTCTCTAGGGTTTCTATTTTCGTGCCCTTTTCGATCCTCTCTCGATTTCTAGGGTTTCTGATCCCAGATCGGCCCATGGTTTCCCCTAATTTCTAAGATCTATAGGTTTTAATCGCTTTTTTCATTGATTACGCGATGATTTCAGTCATGAACGATTTCGATATCGATCGAAACCCTAGCTCGGCTTCAGATCTCTCGTCATTCGGCATGGAATCCCCAAAAGAAGAGAACAAACCGGATCGGATCGATCTAGAGATCCCTCCCGCTCTCGATCCGCCGCTGGAATCGCGAGATCTGGAGGAATCTAGGGTTAGGGTTTCGCCGACTAGGGTTAGGGTTGCGGAAGAGGATCGCCTCGATATGAGCGGATTCTTGATCGGAGACATGGTATGGGGAAAGGTGAAGTCTCATCCGTGGTGGCCTGGCCACATCTTCAACGAGGCTTTCGCTTCGCCGGCGGTCCGAAGATCGAAGAAAGCTGGTCACGCTTTGGTTGCTTTCTTTGGCGATAGCAGCTACGGTTGGTTCGATCCGGCCGAGATGATTCCGTACGAATCGAACTTTGGTGAGAAATCGAAGCAGACGACTCAGAAGAGCTTTGTGAAGGCTGTGGAGGAGTCGATCGATGAGACGGGCAGACGAGCGGCGCTCGGGCTTTCTTGCAGGTGTAGGAACCCTTTCAATTTCAGGCCCATGAAGGTCCCTAACTATTTCGAGGTCGACGTTGCTGGTTATGAGCGGAATGGGATCTACTCGAAGAGGCAGATTAATAGGGAAAGGAATTCTTTTCGGCCGAAGGATGCTCTTGGTTTTTTGCAGCAGCTGGCTTTGACCCCGAGAGATAAGAAAGTGTACGATGTGGAATGGTATCGGAGGCTGGCAGTGTGGCTCGCAGTGAGGAGGTATAGCGAGACTTATGCGCAGGCTTTTGGGCAGCAGCCGGTGAGGCCTGTGAGAGAGGAGAACGGGGCAGCACTGCAGGCTGAGAGTTTCGCTCCTAGAGGTATAAACGCTTTCATGCCCGTGTTAGAGGTTCATGATTTGTATTCGAACAACACTAACTGCATGGTTTTTGCGATTTGTTTAAGTTTATGGTCCAATTTCGTATGTGTAGATAGTTGTTTTTGTGCGTCGATGCTTGTTGTCTGGCGGGGTGTTTCCATATCAATCAATCACTGTGATGACCGAGATATGAAAGTTAACTTATTATGTTTTATTTCAGGAGGTTTTCGTGTCAATGTAAAAGATCGGCTAATATTTGTAACCTTAGGTTCTTAGGATTCTATCAGAGTATGCATACAAATGTCCATAATTTTGATCAATAATGTATGCATTTGATGGTCTAGTAACATTGCTTGGTTTCTGACCTCGATACATATTGTTAGGCTAGGTAAAAGGGAAGATTAAGCTATATGCAAGAAATCAATTTTTTTGCGCACTTACATAACAATGATTGGCATTAGAGTATCCCCAAAGTAGATATGCATCAAGGATATGTATATTGTTATTTAGGTCAAGACAATCAAGGGTTGTGTAGCCTTGGAGCATTACTATTTTCGCGGCTAGGAATGTTCAATCTCCTCCCTTTACAAGGCAAAGGGAAGTATAGATTTTTATTCTTTAGCCCCTTCTCCAGTTTCCCACATGTTTTGGCATGATATCATGCAATAGAGAGAGCTGACTTGTGTGATGTCCTGATAATATTCCTGTGACTTGTGTAATTACTTATTGTATACACTTGTCCTTAAGCTTTTAAACTGTAGTTGAACACCCAAGATTTTTTCATGCTACTTATTTTTTCCCCCAAGTAGTTTTCCTTTTCTTAATTTTAGTTGTAGTTTGTTTCATTCTTTTTTCGTTTTGTTTTTTGTCGAGTTTGCAAGTTCATTTAATGGAATTACAGTCAACATGGATCAATAGTAGATAGGTTGTATCATGTATTCACCGTTTGATGCAAAATGATTCATTTACTTGTTGATTCACAAAGGCACAAACTCTTTTACAAAAAAAAAAAAGAAAAGTAATTTCCTTCTCACTTAGGATGCTTGCAAATTTTAAACTACTTATGACTCAGTATTGATGCATTAAATGGTCACAAGTAATTGCTGCTATCTACTTCATGAAAACCGATGCATGTTTTTAACTTTTTGCCTTGCAAATTTTATTTGATTTATTCTGCTCAAATTCTTATTAACGTTCCTGTACGTTTTGGCGATGGAAGATTCAGCAATGCAAGGAAACAAGTGAATTAGTAAAATTACTAGTTTTTTTTTGTAAATGATCATTTTAGTCTATATTGGTTTTTTATTGCATTTAGTCATTTCTCAAAAAGCATATAATAAAAAAAGAAAAAAAAGAAAAATGTAATTTGTTTTGTTGGGTATTTTTTTTTTTAATATTAATACGAGGGTGCTTAAACCATTGACCTTTATTGCTTCTCGTAATTTCAGTTGCGTCGAAACCCAAAGTAAGATTCAGCCTGTTGGATACGACACGGCCAACAAAGCCACTTCCCCAAATTCTGTCGCAACAATCAAATTTGAAGTTGTTTTAACCAGGTTAGCGCACAAACTAAAGACTGTGTAAATGGGCAAATAAAATGGGAACAGACAAAATAGAGTCCCGTAGAAAAAAAATAAATCTGAATCAACTAATGCCACCTGCTAAACCAGTATCAATAGCAGAATGCCCCGATTTAGTTCAACGGTTAAATCAAGTTCGAGATCTCATGAGGGGTGTACCTATTGTTTGAAAGTATCACCAGATACCGCGCTACCGAGCAAGATTTTTTTTTTTTTTTTGAAATACGGTTGAGTGTGCTGGATGCTTGCTGCATTCATCATATATATGCCCATGAATCTTCATGTAGGATGAAGGAAGCGCCTGTGTTCTCGATGTGCTGTTCTTCGAGCACATCAAGTTTATCGTGTTTTAGGTATAAGCTTATTGTAGGCAAAGAGGTTGGGCTGAGATCGAGGCTGGCCGAGTTTTTATTCGCGTCCTGATAGGGTTATATCCTTAAAAGCCAGAAGCGCTGGCTTGTGGATTTTGGTCACTTGGGGATGGAACACAGTTGAGGGATTCCCTTGTTGAGCGTATTGGAGCTTTCAGATTTAGACTTTTGACCTGTGAGAGGGGATTTGTTTTAGGTTTGACTCGTCAGGCCCGTGCAAAAGTTTGTCTACCCCATGAAGAAAAAAACCTCGCTAATAAAATGAAAAAAAAAAAACACTTTTGGAAGCTGTAAGTAAAACCCTGCGTGGTGCGGCTCTGTTCATAATAAATGAGAAGCGATGGTGCGGCTCATGACACGGAAAAAATTCATCCGAATGATACGCGCATTAAAAAAGAGGAGGATTATCCAGCTTTCTGCTTGGGAGCTGGGTTGTTTTCTACTGTTTCTCGAGGACCTTCTTTTTTTTTTTTTTCAAATATTCTATTCGAATCATGTGCAGGGAAAGGACCAACACCTAAATCTACTGTTTCTGTTTTGCCTTGGATTTGCATGAATAATTGGCAAACCTTGGATTAGTGCAAAGCTGTGAGGTTGGAAGCTGGGGATTAGTTGGTTGATTTCGAGATTAAATTTTTTCTATGCGAGGCTCTCTATCAAAGCTTAAAATAGATGCAGAGGGGCATATTGGGGATTTTATTTGGAAGCAGAGGGGGACCAAATAACTAGAAACAAACAAAACAAAATTTTGGAAGCATCATCGCGTGCGCGTGGTCTCCGCCACCAAACCATTTATTCATTTATTTATAGCGCGACCCCGAAACATCCGTCGCTTATCACGTGACTCGTTCAGAAGAAGC